AAAGAGAAGAGATTGGGTGGCCTCCAAATTGATGAGAATGCCTCCGTTCTCAATCTCGATGGAAACCCCATCGAGGGACTCTATGCAGCAGGCGAAGTTGCTGGAGGCATTCATGGAGGAGACAGACTGGGAAGCTGTGCCACGCTAGACTGCTTGGCTTTTGGTCGAGTGGCTGGTAGAAAGGCAGCTTGTGCAACACCCAGCATTGTGGTCCCATCCGAAGAGTAATGCAAGAATTGTGGTCCATGCGATCTTTCTTCACTGGAAGACGTCATGAAGAACTGATGAATGATGAGACGTACATGCCGTCGTGGATCAGTAGAAGAATCGAATGATTCAATCCAATAATTACGTAGACTTCATAATATCTTATCTAGTATGGTAGGTGTATTGTCGGGATGCACTTGCGTGCGTGTGATTGTGTGATGTGTCTGTTGTTTTCTTTCTTAGGCGGTTGCCTTTTCCTTGATGGAACCATTGCTGACCATTTCTTCCCCGACCAAGACGGCATTGAGAGCGGCACCACGCAACAGTTGATCACCACTGACAAAGAATTCGATTCCATAATCACCAAAGACGAGTGATTTGCGCAATCGTCCGACTTCGACATCGTACTGTCCGGTGGCCGTAATGGGCATGGGATAGGCGAGTTCGTCGGGATTGTCGACCAATTTGACACCGGGTGCCTCGTCGAGTACCTTTTGAGCTTCCTTGATATCTACCGGTTTTTCGGTTTCCATAATGATGACTTCGGAATGAGCCCGAATGGTGGGAATACGTACGGCGGAACAACTCACGGGGAAATCATCCGCCAATCCACAAATCTTGCGTGTTTCCCAAGTGACTTTCATTTCTTCCTTGGTGTATCCGTTCTCTTGGAATTTGTCAATTTGTGGAATGACATTAAAGGGGAGTGGATAGGCAAAGATGGAATTTTCCGGCGTTCCTCCTTCGAGGTAGACTCTGGTTCCATCCTGGAGTTCGTCCATTCCGGGTTGTCCAGCTCCCGATGCAGCTTGGTAGGTACTCATAATGACACGTTTGCAACCAAATTTCTGAATAAGAGGCCAGATCGCCATGAGACCAATGGCGGTGGTACAGTTGGGGTTGGCAATCAATTTGGATTTCTTGGTTTCTTTTCCATTGATTTCCGGTACTACCAAGGGGATCTCGGGTTTGTAACGAAAGGCAGACTGTTGTTGTGAAAGAATAAACACAAGACAGAAAAGAAATACCGTACATTCAGGGGTGTGGATTGCACAGGAATAGGTCGGTTCAATGGGAGAAAAAGGGACAAAATGAGAGGGCGAATGTCAGAAAAGTAGCCAACAAACAAACCAAGCCCTCTCTATAACAATTGTAAAATAAATACTCACCGAGTTATCAATGACGACGGCTCCATCATCTCCTTTACAAATGGCTTCTGCATGTTCGAGCGCAAAGTCTCCACTGACGGCCAGAAAGACGACATCGCATTCTCGTGCCTTGGCCACATCAAAGAGTTCCACTTCAATATCTCCATATTTTTCGGTGGGCATGGTCTTGCCCGCCGATCGTTCCGATCCAAAAATGCGCAACTGGGAGACTGGGAACTCTCGCTTTTCCAGGCATTGACGAATTTCCTTGCCCACGGCTCCCGTGGCGCCGACAATTCCCACACTGAACGACATACTCAAGCTGGTCGTCGAAGAAGAACTGGAACTGGCTTGTTGTCGAACCCTCGAGAAAGTGGGCAAAAAGGGAGAACTTGGAGCAGAACTTGTAGTAGCAGCAGTCGACAAAGGTCCTCTCACGGCAGTAAATGCTTGGGCGGATTGAAATGTAGAAGTCGCGGCAAGTACCAAAAAGGTTCCGACGGCAGAAGCACTCAGTCTCATACTACTATAGAAAAAAGGAAGGAATGGGAAAAGAGGGTGGGTCGATGGGTAGCTGTATTGGTACCCTTTCAGAGAGGAATGTGATCTCTTGTTCTTTTTATGATGGGTGCGTGGGGGACGTCTGATCGTTCGATGATGATGGATGATGGATGTGGCCCGAGCCTATCAATATCTTACCTAAAGGTTGAAGAGAAGAGAAGTTCTTGTATTTTCTATTGGCTTCCCATAGAGCGGTATCCAATGGGATTGTGTTGAATCCAACCAAGAGGAAGCGAACAAGTTCCTTTTCTCACTTTACTTCTGCTTCCGTTGATGCTGCAGGTTTCGGAACATCAAAATGTGCGGCCACGGAAGCATCATCCAAGATCTTTCTCACTTCGCAACCTCGCGTCATCAACTGACGTACCCCTCTCTCAAATTTCACCCCCTTTTCCAACTCACCACGGCCCCCAACAATTACCCCCAACGACGCAAAGAACGGCGACGGTCTCCTTCCTTTTCAACGAGAGAATGATCGGAGGTGCGGCTCAAGAGAAAACAATCAAGCGACGTACCGTACGGTAATCTAGTCGCATGGATCACAACTAGCTATCTAGAGTGACATCGGATCACAACTGCTTGAACAGTTAGCTTACAATACGGTATAGCTACATGTATTGCCCCGTGGTCAAGCCACTCAGCCCTTCAATGCTCCCTGTTGCATCATTGCAAGAAGGGGCGGGCCACTTATAAGCTCGTCGGGATGATCGGAACGGCGGTGAGTGAGTCGAATTATCCCAGATGAATTGCGACAACCACACACGATTACTCGTGGTCTGGATGGTTGCCGTCGTGTGGTGAGGGCGACAAACTAGCTAGATAGCTAATCAGGGCCAGTTCCAAAGTCAAACTCTTCTTCGTGGTCCTCATCATCCTCTTCAAAGTTGAACTCTTCTTGTTCTTCGTGCTCTTCTTCATCATCATATCGATTCCGCACAACGATTGGGATAACTTTGTGTTCGCGGAAATCGGGACCGGTTCCAAAATCAAACTCGTCAGGACCAAATCTAGGCTCTTCTTCATCACTTTCTTCTTGATCTTGATCTTGATCTTGAGAAGAGGCACTCCCTGGGGGATGCATGAAAATGTTGTGGTGTTCAACTTGTTCTTCTTCTGCAGGCACACCAACGCCACGTTCAGTGTCGCCATCACCAAATAATTCGTGGTCTTCTTCTTCTTCGACATCACCAAAATCATGCTCCTCTTCTTCCGGTTCTTCTGTTTCTTGTTGCTCTTGAGAGAAGTCATGTACTTCTGGATCCATGAAACTAGTGTGGTTTACTTGTTCTTCTGCGTGCATGCCAACGTCACCTTCTGATTCCTCGCTATCAGCAAATTCATGCTCTTCTTCTTGGCTACTGGTATCACCAAAATCATGCTCTTCCTCCTCTTCTTGTCCCTCTGTTTCTTGATCTCGAGAGAAGTCAAGGGCTTCTGGATGCATGAATATGTTGTGGTTTACTTGTTCTTCGGCAGGAATGCCAACGTCACCTTCTGGTTCGCCATCTGCCGAAAAATCAGATTCTTCCGAGGAGAGCTCATATTCTTCCTTCTCTTCAGCTTCCTCCACAATGGCCGTGAGAAAATCTGGTCCAGTTTGGAATTCATGTTCTTCCTCAAGGGGAAAACTGAACAATGCAAGAAATCCCTGACCTGGGGTGATAGAGGGCCCTGTAGACGGCACCATAGATGCGCTTGGATTGGCTGATAAACTTGGCTGAATGGAAAGAGATGGCTGCTGAGAGGGATTGAGGGACAAGGATGGCATTGCAGATCCTGATGGTCCCTGTGATGGATTGGAGGAAAGACTCGGTTGGATTGATAAACTTGGAATTGTGGAGGGGACTCCGGAAGGGTTATTTGATGGAATCTGCGATGGTGTTACTGATGGGTTTGTCGATGGCATTAATGATGGGGAGGTTGAAGGAAACACAGAAGGAGCAATGGACAGACTGGGTTTGCTGGATGACGTAGGTTGATTTGTTGGACGTGAAGACTGAGAAGGATTTAAAGAAAGACTTGGCTTAATGGAAAGAGATGGCTGCTGAGAGGGATTCTTGGACACTGACGGCATTGCAGATCCTGACGGTCTTGTGATGGATTCGAGGAAAGACTGGGCTGGAGGCTCAAGCTTGGAATTGCTGATGGTGCTGCAGACACAGTGGTTGCTCCTGCAGATGGAGTGCCGAGGGAGCAATGGATAATGAAGGACAACAGAAGGAGCAATGGAAGACTGGGTTTGCTCGATGATGTAGGTTGATTGGTTGGTGGAGACGACTGAGATGGATTTGAAGAAAGACTTGGCTGACTGGAACAGATGGCTGCTGAGAGGGATTTATGGACAATGACGGCATTGCAGATCCTGAAGGTTGCTGTGATGGATTCAAGGAAAGACTTGGCTGGATGCTCAAGCTTGGGATTGCTGATGGTGCTGTGGACAAAATAGTTGCTGAAGGAGTACCAGAAGGAGCAATGGATAATGAAGGAACAACAGAAGGAGCGATGGAAAGACTGGGTTTGCTGGATGATGTAGGTTGATTTGTTGGACGTGAAGACTGAGAAGGATTCAAAGAAACACTTGGCTTGATGGAAAGAGATGGCTGCTGAGAAGGACTTTTGGACAATGACGGCATTGTAGATCCTGAAGGTTGCTGTGATGGATTGGAGGAAAGGCTGGGTTGGAGGCTCAAGCTTGGAATTGCTGAAGGTGCTGTGGAAACAGTGATTGTTCCTGTGGATGGAGCACCAGAAGGAGCAATGGATAAGGAAGGCACAATGGAAGGAGCACTGGACAGACTGGGTTTGCTCGATGATGTAGGTTGATTGGTTGGTGGAGAGGACTGAGATGGATTTGAAGAAAGACTTGGCTGACTGGAACCAGATGGCTGCTGAGAGGGATTTATGGATAGTGATGGCATTGCAGATCCTGAAGGTTGCTGTGATGGATTCAAGGAAAGACTGGGCTGGATGCTCAGGCTTGGGATTGCTGATGGTGCTGTGGACAAAATAGTTGCTGAAGGCACACCAGAAGGGGCAATAGAGATTGAAGGCACAACAGAAGGAGCAATGGACAGACTGGGTTTACTGGATGATGTAGGTTGATTTGTTGGTGGGGAAGACTGAGAAGGGTTTGAAGAAAGACTTGGCTGACTGGAACCAGATGGCTGCTGAGAGGGATTTATGGACAATGATGGCTTAGTGAAGTGTTGTTGGATGGATTATTGGAAAGAGATGGCTGGAGGCTCAAGCTTGGTGTTTCTGATGGTGCAGTTGCTGAGAGGGTAAACCAGATGGTGCAATGGAGATTGAAGGCACAACAGAAGGAGCTTTGGACAGACTGGTTTTGAGAGGAAGTAGGCAAGCTGTTGGGGAAAAGACTGAGAAGGATTTGAAGAAAGCTGGGGCTCATTGATGTTGATGGTGCTGGAGGGATTTATGGATAAAGAGGCTTAGTTGAATGTTGGGGCTTGGGATGGATTATTGGAAAGAGATGGCTGGAGGCTCAAGCTTGGTGTTTCTGATGGTGCAGTTGCTGAAGATCAAGGCAAGGTGAGAGCTGGACAGACTGTTTTGCAGAGGAAGAGGCACAGCTGTTGGTGCAAGACTGAGAAGGATTTGAAGAGAACTGGGGCTCAGGAGTGAGTCTGGAAACAGAGATAGGAATGGGTTGATAAAGTTCTGAGCTCACGAGACTATGTGTTTTGCAAGAGACGATAGATGGAGATGCACAAGCTGTTGGTGGACAAAGATCGAGTTGGTGTGAAGAACAGAAGGATTTGAAGAGACACTGGGGCTCATGAGGTGATGGTGCTTGGAGGGATTTATGGAAAGAGGCATGGAATGTTGGGTTGGGATGGATTATTGGAAAGAGATGGCTGGAGGCTCAAGCTTGGTGTTTCTGATGGTGCAGTTGCTGCAGAAGGTATACCAGAAGGCGCAATGGAGATTGAAGGCACAACGAAGGAATTTGGACAGACTTGGTTTTGAGAGGAAGTAGGCACAGTGTTGGTGACGAAGACTGAGAAGGATTTGAAGAGACACTGGGCTCATGGAAGTGATGGTGCTTGGGGGATTGATGGACAATGATGGTAGTTGAACCTGTTGGGTTTGGGATGGATTATTGGAAAGTGATGGCTGGAGACTCAAACTGGGAAGTCCTGATGGTGCTGCTGTCCCTGCAGATGGAGCACCTGATGGAGCATTGGAGATGCTGGGTTTGATGCTCAAAGATGGCTGTGTGGATGGAGCAAATGATTCTGGAGTTGGTTGTGAAGATACAGAAGGATTGGAAGAGACACTGGGACTCATGGAGGCTGATGGTGCTTGGGAGGGATTTATGGACAAGGAGGGCATCGCAGAAGATGTTGGGTTTTGGGATGGATTATTGGAAAGAGATGGCTGGAGGCTCAAGCTTGGTGTTTCTGATGGTGCAGTTGCTGCAGAAGGTATACCAGAAGGCGCAATGGAGATTGAAGGCACAACGAAGGAGTTTGGACAGACTTGGTTTTGCAGAGGAAGTAGGCACAGCTGTTGGTGACGAAGACTGAGAAGGATTTGAAGAGACACTGGGGCTCATGGAAGATGATGGTGCTTGGGAGGGATTGATGGACAATGACGGCATTAGAACTGTTGGGGTTTGGGATGGATTATGAAAGAGAGGCTGGAGGCTCAAACTGGGAAGTCCTGATGGTGCTCTGTCCTGCGATGGAGCACTGATGGAGCATTGGAGATGCTGGGTGTGATGCTCAAAGATGGCTGTGTGGATGGAGCAAATGATTCTGGAGTTGGTTGTGAAGAACAGAAGGATTGGAAGAGACACTGGGGCTCATGGAGGCTGATGGTGGCTTGGGAGGGATTTATGGACAAGGAGGGCATCGCAGAAGCTGTTGGGGTTTGGGATGGATTATTGGAAAGAGATGGCTGGAGGCTCAGCTTGGTGTTTCTGATGGTGCAGTTGCTGCGAAGGTATACCAGATGGTGCATGGAGATTGAGGCACACAGAAGGAAATTTGGCGACTTGGTTTTGAGAGGAGTAGGCAAGCTGTTGGTGGAAGATGAGAAGGATTTGAAGAGACACTGGGCTCATGGAAGATGAGGTGTTGGGAGGGATTTATGGACAATGAGGCTTAGTGAAGTGTTGGGGTTTGGGATGATTATTGGAAAGAGATGGCTGGAGGCTCAAACTCGGAATTGATGATGGGGCTCCTGTACCTGGGGATGGAGCATTTGAAGGAGCATTGGAGATGCTGGGTGTGATGCTCAAAGATGGCTGTGTGGATGGAGGGAATGATTTGGAGTTGGTTGTGAAGAACAGAAGGATTGAAGAGACACTGGGGCTCATGGATGATGGTGCTTGGGAGGGATTTATGGACAAGAGGGCATCGCAGAAGCTGTTGGGGTTGGGATGGATTATTGAAAGAGAGCTGGAGGCTCAAACTGGGAAGTTGATGGTGCTCCTGTCCCTGGAGATGGAGCCCCTGATGGGCATTGGAGATGCTGGGTGTGATGCTCAAAGATGGCTGTGTGGATGGGCAAATGATTCTGGAGTTGGTGTGAAGACACAGAAGGATTTGAAGAGACACTGGGGCTCATGGAGGTGATGGTGCTTGGGAGGGATTTATGGACAATGGGCATGCGAAAGCTGTTGGGGTTTGGGATGGATTATGAAAGAGATGGTGGAGGCTCAAACTGGGAAGTCCTGATGGTGCTCCTGTCCCTGGAGATGGAGCCCTGATGGGCATTGGAGATGCTGGGTGTGATGCTCAAAGATGGCTGTGTGGATGGGGAATGATTTGGAGTTGGTGTGAAGACACAGAAGGATTTGAAGAGACACTGGGACTCATGGAAGTTGATGGTGCTTGGGAGGGATTTATGGACAATGAGGGCATCGCAGAAGCTGTGGGGTTTGGGATGGATTATCAGAAAGAGATGGCTGGAGGCTCAACTGGGAAGTCCTGATGGTGCTCCTGTCCCTGGAGATGGAGCCCCTGATGGAGCATTGGAGATGCTGGGTGTGATGCTCAAAGATGGCTGTGGGGATGGGGCAAATGATTCTGGAGTTGGCTGTGAAGACACAGAAGGATTGAAGAGCACTGGGGCTCATGGAGCTGATGGTGCTTGGGAGGGATTAATGGACAATGAGGGCATCGCAGAAGCTGTTGGGGTTTGGGATGGATTATCAGAAAGAGATGGCTGGAGGCTCAAACTGGGAAGTCCTGATGGTGCTCCTGTCCCTGGAGATGGAGCCCCTGATGGAGCATTGGAGATGCTGGGTGTGATGCTCAAAGATGGCTGTGTGGATGGGGCAAATGATTCTGGAGTTGGCTGTGAAGACACAGAAGGATTTGAAGAGACACTGGGCCTCATGGAGGCTGATGGTGCTTGGGAGGGATTTATGGACAATGAGGGCATCGCAGAAGCTGTTGGGGTTTGGGATGGATTATCAGAAAGAGATGGCTGGAGGCTCAAACTGGGAAGTCCTGATGGTGCTCCTGTCCCTGAGATGGAGCCCCTGATGGAGCATTGGAGATGCTGGGTGTGATGCTCAAAGATGGCTGTGTGGATGGGGCAAATGATTCTGGAGTTGGCTGTGAAGACACAGATGGATTGGAAGAGACACTGGGCCTCATGGAGGCTGATGGTGCTTGGGAGGGATTTATGGACAATGAGGGCATCGCAGAAGCTGTTGGGGTTTGGGATGGATTATCAGAAAGAGATGGCTGGAGGCTCAAACTGGGAAGTCCTGATGGTGCTCCTGTCCGTGCAGATGGAGCACCTGATGGAGCATTGGAGATGCTGGGTGTGATGCTCAAAGATGGCTGTGTGGATGGGGCAAATGATTCTGGAGTTGGCTGTGAAGACACAGAAGGATTGGAAGAGACACTGGGGCTCATGGAAGATGATGGTTTTTGGGAAGGGTTTATGGACAATGAGGGCATCGCAGAAGCTGTTGGGGTTTGGGATGGATTATCAGAAAGAGATGGCCGGAGGCTCAAGCTCGGAATTGATGATGGTGCTGTGGACAGAAGAGTCACTGAAGGAGAAGGAGCACTGGAAGGAGCATTGGAGATACTTGGTTGGATGCTCAAAGATGGCTGTGTAGATGGTGTACCTGATTCGTCACTTGGTTGTGATGACTGGGAAGGATTTGAAGAGACACTGGGGCTCATGGAAGATGATGGAACTTGAGAGGGGTTGATCGACAATGACGGCATTGTAGAACTCGAAGGTTTCTGTGATGGATTAGAGGAAAGAGAGGGCTGGAGGCTCACACTTGGAATTGCGGATGGCACTGCTGATGGAAGCTGCGATGGAGTGTTTGATGGTAGGGAAGATGGATTCTTTGAAGGCATGTTTGATGGTAGGGTTGAAGGATTGTTTGAAGGTAATGAAGATGGATTTTCTGATGGCATAATTGATGGTAGGGATGATTGAGGGATTGATGGTATTGAAGATGGAGTTCTTGAAGGTATTGATGATGGATTTGCTGAGGGAGTTTTTGATGGTATTGAAGATGGATTCTTTGAAGGTATTGATGAGGGAGCCAAAGAGAGTGATGGAGAATTTGATAGTGCGGGATTTAAGGTTGGGCCATTTGACAAGGATGGAAGATTTGAAGGAAATAGGGAGGGAGCCAAAGACACTGATGGAGCGTTTGACCCAGCAGGATCTGGGGTCGGGGAATTTGACAAGGATGGAGCATTTGAAGGAAATAGGGAGGGAGCCAAAGACACTGATGGAGCGTTTGACCCACCGGGATCTGGGGTCGGGGCATTTGACATGGATGGAACTCCAGAAACTGAGGGGCTGTTGGAAGGAATGGATGATAATGACGGAGCCAAACTTGAGAAGCTTGGCCTGGATGATACTGACGGCTGCTCTGTCACGGTGGTTGGAGCAGCTGAAACTGAGGGGGAATTGGATAGTGACGGAAGGCTTGAGGGTGCAATAGATGGTGCATCAGTTGTAGTCACTGTGTATGTAGCTGCGTAGCAAACACATACTGGTTGGTTGGAGAAACACCAGGTACAAGGAAGCTATCAATAAAAACCTGGGTGTCAGCATTGCTCATGGAAGCATCCACAAGTGCTCGTGATGGAGCAGCCCGCCCCAGTCCACCCAACCCAAATCCTTCTTTACTTATGTGGCTGCCACTGCCAGTACCCACACCACCACCATCTGTGCCAGTATTCCATTGTTCGTCCCGCCCCATGTCAGTTCCAATCTCGTTTTCGTCGTTTGCCCCAGCTGTGCCAGCTCCCTTGGTACCGCTCCCCTCTTGGCTTGCTTCAGCTCCTTCGCCACTGGTGCCATTGTATTCATCTCGATATTCCATGCCCACAGTCGTGTCGGCTACCGCATCTAGCTGGTAAGTGTTGTTGCCAAAATCATGCTGACCAACATCAGCTTCCTTGCCAAGCTTACTATTCTCTTCTTTCGCAGGTTTTCCTTGTCCAGCTTCGCGTCCTTTGTTTTCATCTCCGCTTTTGCCAGTTTTGGCATCATCACTTCCTCCTTTGCCCCAACCAAAAACAGTTATTTTGCCAAACTGAGCTGTGTTGTCTTCTCCAGCAGCAGATTCATCACGGGCACTACCATCTCCCTTGTCATCGCCACTGTTGCCGATGGTACTGCCCCAACCAACAACAGTCACTTTCCCAAACTGGATTTTGCTATTGTCTTCGCCAGATTCAACCTGCGGCGCAAAATCTGCATAGCCCATTGTATTGCTGTCATCTTGTCCAACTTCGTTGCCGCTGTTGCCGTTGCCGTTGCCGTCCCAGCCAACGACAGTGACTTCCCCGAACTGGGCTGTGTTCGCTACTCCAGACTCGTGCTGAGAACCACCAGCTGCACCGGCCAAGATGTTGCTGCTATCGTGTGCAACTTCATTGCCGCCGTTGCCGTTGCTGTTGCTGTTGCCGCTGTTGTCCCAACCAACGACAGTAACTTCCCCGAATTGAGCTGTGGTCGCTACTCCAGACTCGTCCAGGCCATTCTCTCTAGCTCCATTGCTGCTGCTGCTGCTGCTGCTGCTGTTGTTGTTGTTGTTGTCGCCGTCGTTGTCTTGGGTATCTCCAGCTCCTTTGCCAGACTTCTTGTTGTATGTGTAATCTTGGACAACCTCATCGCCACTGTTGTTAGGACTATTTCCATCGTCAGCTTCTTTACTTTGGCCAATCTTCTCATTTCGTTCCCCTTTGCCCTGATTATCTCCATCCACAGAAGCTTCCCGACCCATGTCGGCCCCCTTGCCAACCTTGTTGTTATCTTCTTGTTCACTTGCGTCTTGCCCTGTTTCAGCTCCCTTGCCATTCTTGTTGTTGCCGTTTGCTGCGGCTCCATTGGTAGCTGCTTTGCGCGAGGTGTTGTCCTCCTCTTCTACTTCTGCGTCACTGATACCCGCGCTGGTTGCCGATCCTTTGTCAGAAGCTTTTACAGCCACTTCGTCTGCTTGTACGGGCTGCTCCCTATTGAAGCCAGGATTGTCCTTGTTGTTGGCACCCTTGACTCGCTGTTGGCTTCCGAACCGCCCAAGTCTACCTTGCCCAAATTCAATCTGGGCCGTCATTTCTGACGTGGTGGTTGACTCCAATCTTCTCTGTAGATGCTCTGAAGCGGCAATTGCTGTTGCTGTATCGGAAAAGATTGATTCGGCAGTAAACGCTATTGTGGATATGAGATCGGTTCCAGACGCAACATTGGTTGTTCCGGACTCAGTTGGTGTAAAAGAGATGAAGCTGCCCGAGAAATCGGAACCCAACACATCGGTATAGAACAATCGAATCTGTTCCAGCGCTTCATCAATGTCAGCTTGTGAGGGTTCTACTAGGGACCCCGAAATGGTGATTGCCATTTCGCCACTGTTGAAGACGGAGGCAACCGCAGTTGGCGCCGGCGTTGGTGTGTTACAAATCGTCCCTTGTATACACAGAATCACCGCCAATCCCCCGGCTCCAACCACGGTACCTGCCGCACCACCTATAGCGATCCCAGCCCCAAATGCAACTGCTGTGTTTGGTGAGTTTTTGGTTTTGCCCAAGAACCCACCTTTCCGACCCAGCTCTGCTTGTTCTCTCGCATGAGCGGTTTCACCGTCAAACAACCCCACATTTTGGGGTATGGGGTTACCTATTTCGGCCGCTCTCTGTTGTGTTGTTTGGCCTCGCAGCTTGTTTCGCTGTGATGATACCGTACCGGTATTATTGTTTGCACCGCGGAGTAAGAAGTTGGTGTTTTCTCGTTCGAGTGTTCTACGACCCCTAGAGGCTTTCCGAAATCGCATGTCGCTTGTTTTCCGCCTCGTTCTCTGCAGCTTTCGAATCGTTCGATCGACTGCTTTGCGCATTTTCTTGCTGTTGTGTTTGGTTATTCTTACTGCTGATGATGGTGCTCGACTTGCTTGTGATTCTCTGACGATCGCATCGATGTGCAAGTCGACACTGGGCGTGCCGAAGATTAATGCGGCTATGGTCGCTATAGATTGATGTCTCGTAAATGCTCTCGTAGGTACTGGCGCTAGTGCTACCCCCCCTGCCAAGTCTTGTTCTTCTAGCAGGTCGCTATCGTCATGCTGTGCAAGAGTGCTTCGAAAGTACCCCGAGAAACCATTCCCGCCGACGCCCCCAATGCTAAAGCCGAGAAGGAGAAACACCATCGTTGCCACCGAGGAGGATATTCGGAACCCTCTTATCATACTCGGCTGTATGCGATTGCTGGACTTGATATCTATTGTACACATTTGATCGCTCTGTTGCTTGGAATTGCTTGTTTCGGCATCGATCGATCGATCGAGGACTCTACTTCATTGCGTGATGGTTCTTGTTCATAAAATTCAGACGAAACCGTTTGACCAAAAATTGGCAGAATTCAGCTTGACCGGCATCCTCCTCCCATTCGTGCCTTGAGCAATAATTCTTGTGTTTCTCTTCCTAAACACAATTTGAGAAAATGTCACACAAAGCAGGTCACAAAGTGGAGTGGAAAGAGAAGTCGTGTGGCCGTCACATTTTCAGGTTTTAGGGTGGCTGGCACCGGCTGTGCGGCGCGGAGAGGAAACTACATGTATAGGCTTGGGTCTCAGAAACGGCTACCATACTTTTAGCTGGCTACCTGGTATAGCTTAGCTAACGGTAGCTACCTGGTATAGCTACCTAGAGATCGAACCCTTTCGTCTTGCTTGTGATCCTGTTGCAGGCCGTCCAATGATTCGGTATGCAAAAGGTACCTTCTGAGTCCACTCTTTGGGCAAATCATCCACCCGTGTTGGCATTCGTTCTACAAATTCCGGACACCGTTCGAGTATCTCTGCCAGCAATGCCTTGTCGGGGCATTCCTTGTACAATGCTTTCACCACCAATTTGCTCACATGACCCGCCAGGCACGCATCTTCAAACACTACTTGGACCATTTGCCGTCGTTCGGTCGAGGACGGGTGTGTATGAGCACCGGCTGCGTGGAGCATGGAAGCAAAGACAAAATGATCCGGTTGGCATCCGACATGGTATACATCTTCTTTCAATTCTCGGTATGTTCGTAGAGCAATGGCGTAGCTGTCATCATCGGATGCGGCGTCATTGCCACTGGTGCTGCTGTCAGTAGTGCCAAAGGGGTCAATAATGGGTTCGTTTTGTTGTGTCTTGGTCTTTCTCACCACTGGATGAGCTGCGGCACTCAACACGGCCGAGAAAGCCACAGTGGGATTGTTCCCACCAGCTGCTACGGTGTCGTTTTCCAGCCCAATGAGTAGTTCCTGTAGTAGTTGTTGCGTCTTTTGCACCTTTTGTGGCTCGGTGGTACTTCTGGCCCACGCGTTCATGACAATGGTGAACCCTGCCATATCCGGCATGGCATTTTCGTCAATCACCTCGTCGGCAAACAATTGTCGTTGTAAGTTGAGCAAATCTTGAGCCTTTTGTGATGCATCGGGCGTGCGTTGACTAGACCACGCTTGCAAGACCGTATTGAACGAGACTATTGCCAAGAAAACAAATGCAGGGGCGAATGTATGTGAGAAATGACGTCTTCCTGTTTGCAGTCAGCCATCGATCGATCGTTGCCTGCGTGAATGCAAGATACGCACTGGTGTCAGGAGCCGCCAACCCCATTCCTTCAATGTGATCCGTCAGCAACTTTTGCAGCATAGATTCGGCCTTCAATGCGCCATCTATGGATCCTGATCGTCCATAGGCGTTCATACAAGCTGTTACGGCATGCCAAAAGATTCGGAAGGAAATGCAAAGAACGGAACCAGCAGATTCGTTAGAAGGCAAACTCCATTCACAAGAGAAACAACCCAACAAACGGAATACAAGAGAGTTTGACAGCTTGACAGCTGTACGTACCATTCCAAGGCGCGACACGATTGTTGGCTGGCTTTTTGTTCCGGCTCTTTACTGGCCTAGATGATGCAGTATTGCTCTCGCCCATTACTATTTGCGCCATGTCTTGCCGTGCCGTCTCTAGAATTTCTTCCGCTTGTTCAGCCGCTTGCCACCGAATGGATCGGTCGACGTGTGGATTGGCGGCCAATCGACTGTAGGCGGCAATGACACTGGTAACGAGTCCCCAATCGGGTTGCACGGTATTGATGGCTTCAATAAACAAATCCCGTGCTTTTTGAGTCGATCGTTGGGACGGATCTTTCCCATATGCCTGAATGACATAGTCGTAGACAACGACATCCGGTGTGGGTATCTGAAGCTTGTTATTGCTGGGATGTTGCGTGTCGTATTCATGTCCGTAGTGTTGTTGATATCGTTTGCGTTCTTGTTGATGGGCACGTTGTAATTTTCGCAAGATTCGTTCGGCATGACGTCCGGCGGATTTGACGTCAAAAGGAGAATGGACTCGTGCACAGAGTGCCAGTGTATAGCTGCGAGTGTTGGGTTTGGTATGCCATCCAAACTGACTGTGGTATTGTGTCATTTCGTGCAATAATTCTTCCGCCATTTTCGCCGCCTCTGAATTGTGTCGAGATGCAAAATTGAGTCCACTCAAGTACGTATTGTAGATGTCCGTGGTGGGACGTAGCGCCACTTGCTGGTAATACGACGAGTTCTGGGCTGTTGTTGTGTGCTGTTGTGATCCAAATCGTTCCTGTTCCTGTCGGACCGTGAACAGCAATTGATCCAGCGTTTGTCGCATGCGTGTCATGGCTGCCTTGGTCTGATGCTTGGCTAGAGTGGCCCAGCCATAGAGAATGGTTTGGAACATCTTGAGTGGGACTGGGTACACATGTACATTCTGAATAGACGCATCTGTAGTGATAGAAGCAGAGTGTTCTTCTTGGGTACTAGTATCCGCTGTATCCACTATGGTTGTCTCTCTGAAATCCTTTTCTGCCAAACACCGGTCTAGTACTTCGTGTGCCATTTTCATGCCGTAAATGTTTCCTTGCCGACAAGACTGATCCACAAGGCTAAGAGCATCAAAGGCCACGGCGTGGGGATTGAGGGTACCCACGGGAGATTCGGTAAATTTGACAACTCGGGTATCCCAGGTCAACGAAGGATCCAGCCAAGGCCGACGAGGAGGCACCCGTTTCGAGTCGTCAACAATACTATCTGTAGTGGCCTCAGTAGTGGCCACAGTGGAGGTACTGGTAGACAGCTGACAGCACTGCTGCTGCTGATGATGATGACTGACATCACCTAATGTCAGTGGAAGCAATGGTATCCTGGTGGACATCTTCTGCGCCTGATCACTACTAGTACCATACTGATCCCATACTGGATAGACATACGAACGGGCAACATGGGTCCCAGCCACAGGCAAGCGACGCCCCAACCCACGCTGAAGAAGAACAGGGCGGCTCATCATCATCTTCTTCTTTGTGACAAACAGCGAAAGTTAGTTTGGCGAAAAACGAAAGGTGGGAAAGTCAACTCGTCACTCAACTCGTCACTCAGTCAATCAGGAGGGTGACGCCTGTCATCATTCGTGGATAGTGTACCGGTATCCATGAAAAGGTAGGTCTTGTTGAAGGCTCTGCCCAAATTTTTGCCAAACACGTCCTCTTAGCCAGGAAACAGGAAAGCAGGAAAGGATCTATTGTACTGTACAATACATGAAAGAGCACAAGATGGCAAGCAGCGCAAGCTTTGCAAGATGCACGGTGCTTCTATTGCTGGTCCTGCTGCTGTTGTCAACCATTGGTGCCGCTTCCGACAGCTTGCCGCCTGAAGACCAAAGGCAGAATCATGAGATCATGCAAGCTGCCAATCGAATGCTGCAGTTGTCCTTTGGCAATAACAACGCAAACGCAAACGCAAACAGCCACAGTGAGGAGGACTGGACGTTGCTTTTGGAAACCATGTTTGCTCATGACAAGGAAGCACTGGCAAATATTCCACAATGGATCCAGCAAGCAAAATTGACTACTGCTAGCTATGATAGTACTAGTAGTAGCACTGCAGCTGTGGATGTGAACCGTCACTGGAAAGGAATTCTGGACATGATACGCAACAGCAGTAGTAGTTCGGAGGATGATGACTGCTTGCATCGAGAATTCGACGTGTCCGACGTCCACAAATTTGACATTGACGAGGCTACGTGGGTGTTTCAAAAGTGTCGCATTCTGGTCCTTCGAAATGTATTTGCAGATGCCACGNNAACAGTCACGTCATCGAAGGAATGATGATAGAAAGCAATATTGGCACATCGATGGCCACTATGTTCACAATGAGGACAACGACTTTGGCAACGATGTGGCAGGACATGACAGACCGCCATTTGCCGTCAATCTCTTTACACCACTACTGAACCTGAAACCCCACCATGGTCCTACCGAGTTTTGTGTGGGGACCAGTCATTTGAGAGGGTTGGATCTAGATCATTATTTTGAGAAAACAGTGGACAACGACGACAACAACACCGATACTATTAGAATCCTGCAACAGCTGCAAGAATTCGAATGGCACGTGCAAAATGGCAACAACAACCGAGGCCGCCCGCCACCAGAATGTCCTCCTCCTTTTTCAAGACAACCACTGCTACAAAAGGGAGATGTCGTCTTGTTTGATTACATGGTGACACATCGTGGTGGCAGCAATGTCAGTGACGAGTTGCGATCCCTTCTTTTTGCCATGTACAGCCGAAAGTGGTACCGTGATACGACATTTGATGGAGGAGATGACGATGACTGCGACTATTATGACGATAATCCACAAGAGTGCGAGTTGGAATTCTTGACCAAAATGACCAGGTTTGCAGTGGTGGATGAGCGGGCAAATATTAGGAATGATCTCGGCGCCAAGGACGGTAATGATGAACTCTGATCGGCAACACACAACAAGAAACAATTTTGGCTGTACCGAACGAACGACATAGGTGGCAGTTTGTCAGAGTTCTGATTGCCCGCCCATGTACTCTAGTAGGGGCAGACAGATACCCGTCAGGGGCTATCAATATCTGCTAGATTTGTACGAGAGCGAGCGATGCAATCTTCCGTGTAGATCCTCCTTCCTTCAGGAGGTTGGAACGAGGAAATTCAGCGGCTACGACGCTACAAAGTTGAGCCTTGAACCACCGGATAAAATTGGGCCTATCATTGGGGCTTGAGAAACAATTGTGTGGGTGACTGTAGGCTTGGCTCCTCCTTGACCCTTCGGCTGAGAGAGACTATCATCACGACGAAAGAGCACATCTCGTGTTTTATCTATCCTTCCCATCTGCACCCACTCTTGGTACCGTAGTGTACTAATCATCGGAACCTGACATCACAGTAGTCATGTTTCCACCCACATACGAAGGGGAAGCATCTCGTTTTCCGTCAAATGAAAGCCATCTTTAAACTATTGGCGACAACCTTTAGTAGGTCGTGCATCTCGAGAAAACGGGGAGGGCTAGTGTTCAGAAGTAGGTGCCGGAAGGATCATCTCAAAAGCTAGCCGGAATTGGTTCTAAACGACAATTGAATAGTGCAACCGGTACACTGCTACTTGTCAGCTCTAGCTACATGTAGTTTTGTTCGTGATTTGAATTCCTATCGATACAACCTCTAGATATTGGGTTCTCCTCTATCATTGCATCTTGTGTCATATGGCAGACAATTCAATTGCTGTGCGGGGCCCATTTGGCAAGCAAATTGTTCAGATTGGCATGATGTTCCGCATCTAGGTAGGCAGAATCTGCAAACCAACCGCTCCAAGACCATTCCAAAGATACCCAGATGTATCCAACTATCCAAGCAGCAGCAAGTGCACGGAGTGGGTTACGTGCGCTGTACTTTTGAGCTCGCAAAGAGAACCCCCCTTTCACAACCATTAAAACAAAGAGCGTCGACTTGAAAATTGAAAGGTTGGTGTCTTGGAGATGGAAATGACGGAAGACAAGGAAGCAGTTGTCATGGAAAATATAGGAAACCATCCCAATGTAGATCATAGCAAAGAACAGCAGGACTAAATACACAATGCGTCCTATCGCCAACACAATCCCAGCGTAGACGTTCCACTTGGTCGTTTTCCTGCTCTCGTTGGCGTTCCAGTTTTGGTGTTCATGGCTCGTGACAATGGCCACGATGAAGATGATGGGTGGAGTCGCTGCACAGAACACAATGTAGAATATTAAATCTAGTAGGGAGACCATGGTGGGGATTTGGAAAGCTCTCAAGATCACTAGCTAGAGATTGCCTTTGACGATTTCTCAGCGATTTTATTTGTGTGAGCCACAGCATGGCGTGGAGGTTCACCAGAAGGAAGCGAAGAAGAAATGGACAGAGCTCATTAGAATGGTAGACGAAGATTGCACTCTTCCTCGTTGGGGTCCTTCGACATTTTGAGGTGCGGGAGTCAATGCCTGTAATTATTATGTTCACGGATTGGTTCGTGCCACTGTTTTTAATACCTGTACCGGTAGCGTCAAGCCAGCAAGCTGTTAGAAGTTCTCATGAATGTAGCCAAACAAGTCACTCAGAAAATAGGTACCGGTACGTATCGGAACATGCCAGCACCGCTTATATTCGAGCTCCGATACCGATACCTGGGCCGGGGACACCAACATGTACCTGGTAGCTTGGCATAAAGATGGGTGCTGAGGGCAAGAGGTATTAGTACGTACCGGTACGGTACGGTAGCCTGGGGGTGCATACCGTACGGTAGACCGCTTGCCTTTTTGCACCGTAAATGCATCCGTACCGGTCACTAGCACGTGGGCCTACACCCGTTGAACCAGGTTGTGGCCTCGACGGACATGGCATCAGGAGGACCCTTCAACGAACGGTAACACCTCAGGATCCAGAGCCACTGAGATCTGTAGGTACTAGACGGTCAGAAGCAACAGGCACAGAGGAGTTTGTGCAGATCACGGATGACGACGGCGTTCTGAGGCACCGCAGGCTGTGTTGTTCTGCGAAGAACCAATTGAGATGGTCTACCGTAGCCAGATGAAAGCAAGGAATGGGAGCTGTGCATGTGAAACTCCTTCCTCTTCTTAGAGGCGAGATGAACCGTGTGCCCCATGAACCAGCTGCTACGACATAGGACGGTAGGCTACAAGCAAAGTGTCATGCATTCACTGGTTGAGCGATACTACTATGATACGCGTTAGCTAGAGCTGCACCTTCTGACACAAAGAGGGAATCCGAGTGAGTGTGTAGTGGCTGCCACTATTGTTCTCGTTGTGCACGTCGTCTCGTCACTTTGACAAAAGGCAACGGACGGCACCGATCCCCAGGAGGCCTCCTCCGAAAACCACCCCGAGACTCTAAGAAAGAACATGCAGAAAATGGAGCACCTCGGCAAAAAGTTGTATGCGTCTGGAATATTCGGGTCAAAGCAGCTTTCTCACTCACTGATCCATGCGGCGGAATCTCCGGGAACGCCTCCAAGAACTGCTTGATTAGATACTCATAGAAGCGCTCGTCTTCGTGCATGATGGTCAAAGCTTTGCTCCAATTCTCGAAATTCTCGTCACTGACCTCCGCAGTCAAATGGGTAGAATCCATCTCCAGACTGGTGAAAAGAATTCCGTTGAGCTGCGGGAAGAAAGTCACGGCTCGAATGGTTTCGTGGGGTAGCCACCATGGAGGTGGCGTGGTGGTGTCAGGATCGGGAAAAGCGACTGCGAAATCAGTCCCGCAAAAGTCGATTTGAAACAACCTTTGCTTGTTGCTGGCGGAACGGAGCAGATGATCCCAGTTCCAAGGCCGCGAAGTCTCAACATATTCAATCGTCAACACTTGCAATCGTGGCAACGCCTCGACGGTTGTGGCAAGAACCTGGATATCATCTGCGGTCAAATGAACCCTTTTGTCGTCATACGAAAAGATACGGAGCGTTTCGAGATTGATGCACCCGGTCAGTTGACGGAAAGATTGTGCGAGAACAACGGAGGAAGCGTTTGGATCTTGGGTGTCAAAACAAGTGCACCCGCTGAAATCAAACTAGAACATAATCCCTTCGGGGACTTTGTAATTCTTAAGTTAATGATAGCCACCGGTAGCTAGCTAGCCATGGAGCTACTGTTGAAATCTGCTCTCTACATGTAGACTACTAGCAAGCGATCACGGGAAGCCTTGGCAGGGTTTTGGCGGCTCATATGACTTGGACACAACCTGGACAATCTTGAGGGATACAAGGATCCAGAGCTTGCCCTACAATGGATGCTACTACTAGCTAGTAGATTATGAACTAACGATGCTGTAAGCTCCGGTACAGTGTAGAATGAAGCCACGAGCACGACAAGAGAGATTCGATTCATTCAGTACCGGTATCCACGATTGGGTCAGAGCTTCGGTTTGTTGGTCTTGGAGTGAACGAGTGAATGACGATGCGATTCAAGTCAGTCGTGGATAATCAGAATCCTAATCAATTTTTGGAGCCATCCTAATCAATTTTTGGAGCGGCTCCAAAAATTGATTAGGATGGCTCCAAAAATTGATTAGGATTCTGATTTATCCAAGACTCGAATCGTCATTCGTCCGGCAGTCTTTAAGTCTTCTCAACTATTGGTAACGCTTTGCACGCATACCGTACGGTACCGGTATCATACGATAACCGTATGGGCGCGGTACATGTACAGTACCGGTACGGAAACAGAGCCTCCGAAGGATGCGCCGCATTGACAATGAGACAGCGAACAGAAACCAAACCTCTCAACTCCTCATGGCTAAGTATCATGCTTGTCCAACGGCCTAAGTACCTTGCTACGGAGGATCCAAAACACACTCAAGTCAGACCACTCACCATACCGGTAGTCCACTCTAACCCATAGTAACTTTGTCAATCCAAGCCAACTCGGCTCGACTCCAACCGGCACAACACATGTAAGTGAGCCCAGACCGTTAGCATTTTCTCACTTTTCTTCTTCGTGTGCTTTGGTACCAGACCTCTTCTTGCTGCCGGTACCGTGCTGTCTAGCTAGCTAACTTACTAGAACGACGAAAGAAACCATGGGATTTGAAAGTTTTCTCACGCGACGCCTCTTGCTAGCAACGCTGTGGTTGTTCCGGAGTGCCTTGGCCCACAGAAAGGACGAACCCATATTATCGGTACGAGGAAAACGACAACGTCGACTGAGCGAAGAAAAGTACGCGTGGATTCAAATTGGTGATTCCATCATAGGGGAAGCAGTCGATGACAACTCGGGCCATTCCGTGGCGATCAACCGCGTCGGAGACAGCGTTGCCGTTGGGGCGAGAGTGGCTGACGGTCCGATCGAAGATACTGTCAATGCAGGTCACGTGCGGGTTTTCGTGGAAGATGCGAATGGAGCATGGATCCAAAAAGGCTCCGACATTGATGGAGAGGCCGAAGCAGACCGATCCGGATACGAAGTTGCCATGAATGCAAATGGTAACATTCTCGGCATTTCGGCACGGTTCAATGACAACAGCAATGGGCAAGACAGCGGCCATGTCCGGGTATTTATCTATGATAGTACAATCACACAGGATTGGGTACAAATGGGACAAGATCTGGATGGCGCTGGAACTTCGGAATGGCTTGAGTCCGTTGCCTTGAGTGAGGATGGACTCCGTGTGGCTATTGGAGCGTCCAGGCATCCTTTGGGATCCTTTCACGGTGAGGTTCAAGTGTTTGATTATGACTTTACGTCAGAGCTCTGGGTGCAAGCAGGACAAGATCTAGGCGGTCTCAATGTTGGTGACCGATTTGGAGGAACCATTGCCCTCAGTGATAGTGGAGGCTTCCTCGCCGTTGGAGGGTACGGGGCCGATTGTAGCGATGATATCAATGACAACTGTGGTCATGCCGAGGTTTTTGAATACATCACAGCCGATGATGAATGGGTTCAGATGGGATCCACACTCTACGGCGGAGATAAAAGTGACTACTTTGGAACGGACCTTGCATTGAGTGGGGATGGAACAATCCTGGCAGTTGGGGCGAAACGTCACTTGAGCTTTACTGGAAAGGTACAAGTCTTTCGATTTGATTCCACCACTTCTGATTGGGTCACGATGGGACAACACATCGTTGGTGAAGCCACCAATGATCTATCCGGAACAGCCTTGTCGCTGTCGACAGATGGCACCAAGTTAGCCATTGGTGCATGGTCCAACGATTCTCCCTTTGGCACCAATTCGGGGCATGTGAGGGTATTCGAGTACCTGTCTGCCGCTGATCGATGGGAGCAAGTAGGAGCTGACATTGATGGTAAAGATAGTACCGATGGATTTGGTTGGTGTAAGTGATGATTGCAATAATGGTTACTTTCGCCTGTTGACTCTCGCTCCTTCTCTGCTCTGATGATCTCACAAATATATATTTTCTTTCCTTGCTGATAGCCGTTGCAATGAATGGAGATGGCTCCCGAATCGTTGCTGGGGCCCCCGATCGACCTGGTGAGGACGACTCCTACAAAGGAGCCGTACGAGTGTTTGAGTACGCGAAAGTCACCGAGGCACCGTCGGTATCACCAACGACTGCACCCTCAGCGGCGCCCTCAAACTCTCCATCTGTCCAACCGAGCCGAACGCCATCCCTGAAGCCTACGAATCCACCCATACCGGCCCTTCCGACGGTACTGCGAGTACAAGAAACAACAGTAATGCCTTCGCCAATGCCATCCCAAGTCCCATTGGAAGAATGTTGGGTCAACATTGGAAGGTTCTTCACGGATGTGACCGAATGGATTGTCGGGCTTCAGGCTGCCGTCAGTGATGATTTTGGAAAGCTGGGAGTCTAGCATCTGGGTGACCACGGCTGGCTTGCTGATCAAACATTCAAGAACAAGAAGTCAACAATTAGCTTAGTTAGATGCTGCAGAGAATTTAAAGGATTGCAGCAGCATTAGAGCTCGCGTCAGGCATGAGGTCTTATCCAGAAGACAGAAGAATTACACTGCAAATGTTGGGCCATGTTTAGAAGTCAAGAAGGCAAAATAACGTTTCCAAGCAAGCACTTCATGTCATTAGCAGCCTTTTGCAGCCAGAGTACAGGTTAGAGTAATCAGCCAACGAGGCGAGCAAACTGCATCAATAGGATAGAATTTGATCAATCAGGGTCTGGAAAGTGATGTAGCTGACTAGTCCTCTGGCGACTATCTAAATAAATGGTCAAGGAGAGAGGGGGGCTAACCTGGGCACAGTTTGGCCACATGTGGTTGAATAAGGCATGCGGTGAGCAGGAAAAGAAGGGGGATAATAGGGCGATTAGTAACTGGTAGGAGGGGAAGGGATTAGAAGCAGGAGGGGGCAGAAGGTGCCAGGAAAGTGGGCATGAGGGATCAAATTTGATGGAATAGTGCAAGTGCTCATCCACATCCCAAATAGAGCAGTAGAAGCTCATGGTGCCACAGGGAGACCAGAGCCAGACAAGGAGAGCCTTGATGAGGTAGGTGTCGGACTATCATAGCTAGCTAGAACACTGGCAAAGGCTGACCATGAGCCTGTCAGACCAACGCTTTGGCAAGGACGAGATGGAAGTATGCAGCTCAACTGGCTGCTTAGTTAAGCACAGCTTTAAGGTCGTACCGGTAAAGATACTTAAGCAACTATTCAATCTAAGATATTTTATGATTTAAGCGTAGCTTAGAGGAGAAGTGTGATACCCCTAAATGAATCTTTATAGTAATTTGAGTGCACGAGAAAAGATCCGATGCAAAACTACGCCAGGTTCCTTTTTTGCGCCAGGTTCTGATCTCCTCACCTGGCAGTCAATTTACCGTCTTCGATAGCTTCCACCCACAATTTGTTCACCACTGCCTTTACCACTGGTTTCCAGATAACAGTAATCCCAGTAGCATCCAAGACGCTTGACTCTATCACTTGACAGCATAATATCATCTCAAGAAGCGAATCTATGAAAATGTTGTTCCCGTCCCTTGCTGTATTGGCTGCAGCCATCCCGCAGATCGTGTTGGCATCGGAAAGTGTCGTTGACAATGCCGCTGCAGCCTCGTCCATTGACACCAATGGCCCAGCGATTGAAGTTGTTGCAGGCAAGGCAGTGCTGCAGGATGACGCCGGGTTCGTGCTGAATTCCACCATGGCTCCCATGCCAGAGGAGGACAGTGACGAAGACGACTTGGAAGAGATTGGACGAGGCTTCATTGCCCACCCCGACGAAACTTTCGACCCATTCACGGTTGAACAATTGAATCTCCCTTTCCGTTGGTACCAGTGTGACTACATCGAATCTCACACGTTTCCCGGCTTTCTAATCACGGAGAACATCAAGTCGCCCTATCAAGAACTGGAGTTTTATGTCCACCCAAAGACTGGATCTGCTTGCTTCGATCTTGATGGCATCCTTCAGCAGTGCACCAACTTCCGCCCTCACTACCATGAGGTGGGCCTCCATTGGGCGGCGCAGTACGTCGACAAGGTCGAGCGTGTACTCTTTGTGGGCGGTGGGGATTCTATGATGCTCTATGAGGCGCTCAAGTACCCAACTGTTGAGAAAGTGGTTGGGCTTGAACTTGACCAAACAGTGACGCGATATGCCTACAAGTACTTTGGTTCTCAGCCTCACTGGGATCAACACGAGAAGGTGCGCCATGGTCCCGTCGTTCGCTATGTGAACCCCAATCAACTTGTCACTCATCCATTTCCTTTTCTTTGAATTCAACCTCAGGTCGAATGGTGGTATGGAGATGCATCCAAGAGTCTGCTCATGCTCCCGAAAGAGTATTTTGGATCTTTTGACCTTGTCATTGTTGACTTGTCCGATACGGCCATGGATATGTCTGTGACAACGGATTTGGATGTTTTCGGTGCCCTCTCTCTCTTGTTGAAACCTGAAGGCATCCTGATCAAGAACGAGCAGGTCTACTTCCAGCATCTACGCAACATTTTTGACTACACGGTTCGACTCCATTTTGACGACGTGCCCCACATTTGCACACAGAACTTCATCTTGGGGAGCTTTGGAGTCGACTTTTTAAACAAAGAACCGAAAGACCACGGCATTATCGAAGACACATTGCTTCTCTCAAAGCGGGAGTCGCTCACCGGCCGCCACAGCATTATGCACGACTTTGTCAAGAACGTCACTCGTCCCACAAAGCACTGCTCGCAAAACAACGATGAAACTATCTCAGAAGATCAAGTTAGGAGTCCGGGCGTGCTGATGATCCTAGAAACTGAAGATGTGACAATTTCCCTTGACCCAGATGATTCACCTTTGGAAGAGATTGTCACTAATGTGCTCGAAAGCATTGGCCTTGAGATTGTGAAAACTATGGAACTAGAAGGAAATAGTGACAAGCCTGAAGAGGAAGATGGAGAGGAAGACCTGTTCAGCATCGAAGACGGCAACGACATTGCCTTCGTCATGAAAGAAGGGTACCTGATTGCACGTCCTTTCCCTGAATACGATTACATCGCTTTTGACATTCATCTGTGGAGTCGTTTCGATATTCACAATGACATCAAGAGAGGGCTTATCAAAGCCGTGGGAAGTACCGCCGAAAAATCAAGTTCATCCTTTAGGATCGCTGCCAGCGGCATCTTTGGTGTAGAAGGTTGGAAGGAAGATGAAAGCAAGCGCGGACCTCGGCTGACCAGTCCATGCGAGGAAGCAAGTGTATCAAGCACTCAGACATCCATGAACCCACAAGTGGTATCTGAAGTTGTGAACGAAGCAATCCATTCATTTGCGGGTGAAGAACCTAAGCTTCAAACTGTCGCAGTCTGTGGAATTGAAGGAGAGGACTGCCCCATTCTTGAATCTCTTGAAGCCAATGAGAACGTTGATGTGGTGACAACGCTTAGGCCATGCGGCGACCTTCGCAATGACTTGAGCATGGAGTTATGTCTGCTGAAACTGATGCAACAAATGGATCAGGTTTCTGAAAGCTACCCCATCCAAATGCTTGTCGTTGACGAATCCGCAACCCTGCAAGTTGGACAGCTTGTTTACGATCTCTTCAACAACTCGTTGGCGAGCAACGTCCATGGACCTCGAGAGAATCCGGCGTTTTCAAGAGACGACTTTGTGGTAATGGCACCCTTCCGTGATGAATCTGGCAGTTGGCGCAGAGCATTCCTCGACCGATTTCGCACAGATGTGGTTCAGAATGATCCTGTTTCTCGTGGTCAGGTTCTGTTCAACACTACTGACCACAGCTTGGATATGGGCATTGTTCAATCCGGCAATCGTGACTTTGCTACCACCTTCCGAGGCTTTGTCGCTTCCGTCGAGTCCACATCGGGCTTGTCCGCGGAGGTTCGAGCTATTCTCGGGGGGCATTTCGAGTTCCTTGAAGACTTCGAGGCGCAGATGGTTTACACTCCAAGGGACTATGAATTCCAGGCTTCATTGGAACAGTGGAACTCGCAGACTCCACTTGGATTGCAGTTGGTGATTCAAATGGAAATGCTGCCTTGGGACAAGGTTCTCGTTGTCGGTGAAACTGTTGAAGTCGAATTCGAAGAGAGCGAAGTGGAAGATTGCACCCTGCTTGCTATCTATCCCAACGGCACTGTCGATGTGGAGTACATTGATGAAGCCGGCACAACTTACATTCTCCATGACGTTGACAATAGGTGGGTCAGGAAGACTGGAAAACCCGAGAAACGAGACAACAGGCTCAATAAGCAAGAAGTCTTGGCAGCTTTCGACGAGGCTCTTTCCATCTTGACTGCAATCGACTACAGCTACGAACATTTTGTGACTGAGGTCGGAGATGGAGCAGCCATGGTTGCACTTTGCCAGGCTGCAACCATTGCCGCGGTATGGGATGGTACATCACACATTGACGTGAACGTCTTCTCGTACGTCCAAGATAATGGATTGCTGGCAGAAGAGTTCACAAGACCCTTCCTCCGACTCAACTCATTGATGCAACCCATCCTTCGGGATCGTCAGCCTCGTGGAGTTGGTCGTGTTGTCAACTTCCCCGATGACTTGAAGGAGCAGCAGAAGAAGCGTCCAATCTGGGCCAAGCAACGAAGGGATGCCAGGGTGAAGAAAAGCAAGCAAGAAGAGGCTTGAACAACTGGAACCTCAGTATTGGCCAAGGATCCAAATCCTGGAGAGTTGACCACGCAGCACAATACAACTACATTCAAATAGCTACATGTTTTACACATCTTTCGCCTGTGTTCATCAGTAGATAGTTTTTCATAGCTACACAAGCTACACAATTACTGGGTTGGGAATGGAGCAGAGTCCAAGTCGTCAAATTCCTTTGATACCGGTATGGACACGGCGTCTTTCAAACGAGCGAGTGGCTGAAAGGCATCGCGGCGTCATCCCTCCTCCACCAACCCCAGGACTCAGCCAGCCATCTTCCTTGCGTCTCTGGCTAGACTTAGCTCGAGTCCTTGAGTCGCTCGAGTGACAGTCGAAGTCGTCAACCCAGAATTAACCCTATTGAGGATGCGGACCCAAGCACTGAAGAATTAGCTAACTACCAACACACCTTGATATACGGACGACATTCAACAAACGTGCAGGAGACCAAGAAAACACAAATGGCCGGCTCCCACAACATGCCTGTTGGCTGGCTGCTTTCACCTGCCTTCTTCAGTGGTGCGTTTTGCTCTGAGCTTCCTTGGAGGGTGAAATCAAGCAAATTCTTCCGTACACGCCCTGTGTTGTACGGTACCTGTAACACCTGCTGGTGTTTGCATTCTATCGAGCTAGCTAGCTTGCCAGTAGCCACAAAGTAAGTAAGTAGCGAGGGCTGCTGTAACACCTTGCAAGTAAGTGATCATCACGAGAGGAGTTCGACGCTCCGCACTCCATACTCCACGGTTCGCGCATGCCTTATGAAGTCTCTATCCCTACTGTATTGTTTGTGAGATTGAAAGTTTGGATAAAAATTGTCGCAAAAGCAAAGCAACCATTTGACGCTTTGAAAAGGTTGAAAAAAGGCAATTTCGACAAAGAGGCCGCGTCCACACAAACCCGAGGCAAAACCCCACCACCACCAACCCGATAACAAAAGATAGCAATAGAGCAGTTGACCATGGGTGACGAAGCCTTTCCAGTTCCTGCCCAGTTGGAGGCTCAGCTGGGTAAATGCAAGTCGGTTCGGCCGTCCACTTACTACAAGAGCCGAGCCAAGACCGCTGCGGTAGGTTGATCCACTTCTTCGCTGCATTCCCTGTGTGCTGGTTGATCTACATTGTGTCATGGCTCACACACCGTGCTTTTACTAACTCAACTGATCGTGACCCTTGTCTGACGATGTATGACAGGAAATCAAAGAGTCCAAGGCCAAGCGAGATGCCTGATTGAATCTGTCAAGTAATTTGAAGCTGAAAAAAGGAGGAGTAGGAGATGAGCCGAGTGGACTCAGTCAGTCCGAGATTCTGTCAACCCAACCAATAGCTAAGCTAGCTAGCACCACCATACTCCACACAATTTGCCTGTACTGAAACGAGAAACTTCTAGCTACTAGCTAGCTAGTCTAGTATTCTTAAATCGTTCTCTCGTTTTTTTAAGTAGCTAGAAAGCGGAGGCTTACAGATTCCCAAGCACCAAAGAAAAGGGTAACACAATACTAGCCAATACTAGCAGGCCACATTACATATAGCAAAAAGGGAACTGGCAATGGCTCCCACCGTCCTCCCCAGAGGCATCCACCCCCCAGATGGCCCTGCAACAGTACGACCCTATCGTACCCCGCCCACTTCCTAGTAGCATTGCCTTTCTCATCCCAGCCAACCAAGCCTGCCTGAATTTAAATCCTATGCGCACTCACAATCGCAGTCACACTCGACTTGCGCACATCTGATGCGGATGGTAATGTCCGTGAGGGCGCACAATTCAGCAGGAACGCTGCCCGTAATCCCACTGCTGCGGCCTCCAACATCCAAAAAGCGGAGGTTGGTCAAGAGACCAAGCTCACTGGGAATTTCACCAGTGAACTCGTTCTGGCCCAAGAAAAGATACTTTAACCTTGACAGCGTTCCCAGTTCGGTCGGAAGTCTCGACGTCAGATCATTCTCTGCCAAATGCACATATCGGAGCTCTTTCATCAGGCCAAACTCGGATGGAATCGAGCCATCGAGTCGATTGCTCTCGAAACCAACATACGACACGTTGCTCAACAGACCCAGCTCTAGGAAAAAGATAACAAATCGAATCAGATTTGTCAGCGAGGAACAATTTAAAACAAAGAGGCAACCAAACGTATCGAGCCATGGCGCAATAGTACGTACCTGTGGGCAAGCTTCCAGATAACATATTTTCGTATAGATACAAGAAATTAACAGAAGTCAAAAGACCGAGCTCACTGTGGGAAGAAGGCAGGTAGAGGAACAGAGTGAGTGAGACAACATACAGGAACAACCACAGATGTCAAATGAATCCAACTGTTCATCTATCTGATCAACATACCTTGGAACCGGCCCCATCAATGCATTGTCATGCAGATCAATGGAATATAAATTGTCGGACAAAGTCCCCAGCTCGGTTGGCACCGTGCCAATCAGAGCATTGCCAAACGCTTGCAAGTTGGTGAGGTTTCTCAACAAAGCAATCTCGCTCGGGACTGAGCCCGTCACGAGATTGTTGGAAAGGCGAAGCTGTTGGAGGCCCGAAACAAGTCCAAGCTGTGTTGGAATGGGGCCTTGGAGGTTGTTGTCCGCCAAACCAAGGTATTCCAAATTCGTAAGTCGTCCGATTTCAGAGTGGACAAACCCAATGAAGCGATTCTTATCCAAATCCAGGCTAGTCAATAGCTCGAGGGTACCAATCTCGGTGGGCAATGTGCCCTGCATCTTGTTGGCGGAAAGACTCAGAACCTCCAAATGTGAGCTCAACCATCCCATTTCCGATGGCAGGCTCCCGGACAATTCGTTACCGCTCATGTAGAAGTATTTCAGCCGGGTCCACGTGGGAATGGCCACAGGAATCGTTCCTCTGAGCTGATTCCCCATGAGATACAATTCTCTCAAGGAAGTCATCAACAGCCCCAACTCCAAAAACAACTCTCCCTGCATGGAATTGAACGAAAGATCCAACACTTCAATCGAAGTGGGAAGTCGGACAATCGCCTGAGGACTCCATTCTTGAATGTTGCTCTGTGAGAAATCGAGTTCCCGCAGCTTCGTCAACTGAGTCATGTTTTGAGGAATGAATTCCTCCAGAGTTGTGGGAACTTTGTTGCTGGGCATTCGAATGGATGTCAAGTCCGTCAACAGACAAATCTCGGGAGGCAACGCGTCAACGAAGATATCCACCACAGTGCCGGGACTGGGATCTCGACTCTTGGGAACTTGAAGCGACTCGTAGGCACCATCGTCACTGCAAGCCTTGAAGGGAACCTTTGGATTTGGTTGGGAAGTCAAAGGAGCCAACCAAAAGGTCTCGCTACTGTAGTTGCCACGAAGATAGTACCACTGGCACTCGGGGTAATCGTAGTCGAGCCAGCTTGCGAATTCTTGCTGCAGGTGACGGCGGCTGAACGGGTCGAGACCTTGGGTGCGTTCTTTCAATTTGTTCATGTACACTTCGCCGCTGCGGCTGACTTGCTGTCCCTCAACGACAATCGCCTCCAGGTCTCCAAAAGGACGTATGAAGTTATTCGAGAATTCATTGCCACCTGGCCGATTGACTACGGGACCAGGCCCGTTGTCGGCTTCAGATGCTTCCACGTTTTGTTCCAAGGAAGTGACGACTGGATCAAACCACGAATAGTAGGTCGTAACCAAACTAAATCGTTGTACTTGTTGCCACTGCGGATACTTGTCCAAGTTGGGATCTTCCACGACCCATCGAAAGGCCCGTGCTTGCGCCGAGGCAGGATTCTCGGCAATATGCTGCCAAGTTTCATCGGGAAGTTCCGACAACACCACAATCTGTTCCGAAGAAGGAGATTTGGTCGTTGGTTCTCTAGTGGGACCCAGTGTGGTTGGCACGGAAGGTTTCGGAGTGGTTGGTTCTCGGGTGGTCGGAAAGGGAGTAAACGGTATCATCACTACTTCTTGAGTGGTTGGTGCGGAAGAAGCGGGTACTTGAGTGGTTGGTTCTCGGGTGGTCGGAAAGGGAGTAAACGGTATCACCACAGCATTCGACGTAGTGACAGTGGGTGACGCGGTCGACGGAACAGGAGGCGTGGGTTCCAGCGACGTTGGCGGCAAGGAAGTCGGTTCCATTGATGTGGGAGACTCCGTTACGGGAACTCCTGCTGTTGGGGGACTTGTCTCTATGGTGGGCGAGGCGGTTGCAATAGGTTGCGCGGATGGTCTTCCTGTCGATACAACACCAGCAGCTAAACCATCGGATGGCTCGGTTGGTGCTAGTGTCGTCAATAACGGGGCGCTGGTGGTTGCTCGCAAACTTGGACTGCCGGTCTCTTCGACAGTGATGACAGAAGGTTGCGCGGAGGGCCCCGATGAGGGGCCCGTTGTGGACGGTGCCAAAGAGGTGGGAACACCGGTGGACGGCTGCAAAGTAGAGGGAGCCATAGTGGAAGGTGGAAGAGTAGAAGGAGCATCGGAGGAGGGTTGAGGCGTCGAGGGCATGAGAGTGGGAGCTTTGGTTGTTGCGGCCACTGTTGGATTGGGCGTTGCAGGAACCGCAACAGAATCCCCCGGTGATGCCACAGGCGGTGGCACGGTTGGAGAGCCCGTGAAGACGGGCAGTGGTGATGGACCAAACGTCGGTTCGTACGTGACTGTGGGAGCAGATGTCGGTTCTTCTTTGGGTTTTGGAATGTACGTGAAGACTGGCGCTGGAGTCACTGGTGTATTTACGGCATTTTCATCCGTTCCGCTGCTGTCACTTCCAAAACCCGGTCCAAAGAACAGATACAAGCCACCGGCTACACACAGCGTCCCAATCAGGAGCAACGCCATGAGCAAATACTGGCAACATTTCGACTGCTCGTTATCCTGATCGTCCCCTCCCTTGGCAACATTGTGATTTGCATGTTGCTGGGTATTACTACTCTGTGGCGGTCTTGGATTCTCTTCATCGTAACTCGGTCGAACGATGCTTTGGCTTTGTTGTTGTTGTGGTTTCGACGGATCATAACTGTCAACGCTGTCATCATCACTGGTGGCGTACGGATTCACAGCGGTAGGCTTGGGTGGAGGAGGAACATTATTTGCCTTGGCGAGATTCTTTTTGTTGTTGTTGTTGGACAACGACAAGTTACTGCGGGAACTTCCATCATTGTTCATACTGGAATGGAGACTGGCTTCAACTTGATCGGGATCATAACTATCATCACTGTCACTATTATCACCATCACCTTCGGCAATGGTTTTGCTTTTGGCAACCATGGCCGCTTTTTGTACTTGTTGTTGTAGGAATTGTTCTCGTGTCGACGGTGCCGATCGATCGAGTTGCCGCCGTTGACTGCTTTCGTTCATACTGCAATTCATTTGTGCAATACTGGGACTGGTAATCATGTCCTTGCCTTTTGCGGAATTGCGCATGGATTGTTCAATGGCGGTCGGATCGTAACTATCTTCGCTGTCACTATCGTGGTTGCGTTGCTTGTTGCGTTTGGCCGCTTCTGCCGCCAACTCGACTTGGTTCTGTAGTTTTTGATATCGCGTGGTGAATTCGACATTATCATTTTGGGACGTAAAGGTGGCTTCGACGAGATCGGGATCATAGCTGTCATCATCACTGCTGGGCATGCGTTTGGGTGGTGGCAACTTACTGTTACTGGGAGTTTTCCCCAAGTTTTGATTTTGTTGAATGCGTCGATACTGTTCTTCTCGATTGGATGACCCCGAAGGAACAGCGAGTGGCAGTTCCCTGTCCCTATTTTGATTGTTTTCCTTGTTGCTGCTGCTCCCTTTGCTGCTGTTGCAACTGTTGATGCTCCTTGCCGAGTTGATCTTTTGTTGGAGTGTAGCTCGCTGCTGTTGCTTGAGACTCCTGTTGCTGCTGTTGTTGTTGCTACTGCTGTTGAGACTCCGGTTGGAAGTCTTCTTTTGTGGTAGAGTCTTCTTTTGTTGCGATTGCGATGATAGACTCTTTTGACTGCTGTTGTTGTTTTGTTCCAACTGGGGTGGATTCCCTTCAAGCGCAGCCGCCGCATACGCTGCTCGAAAGACGACACTGTTGGGATCGACTGACGGGTGCGGCTGTTGGTTGTTGTTGTTGTCATCAAAAAAGATTTGCAACTTGTCTCTGTATCCTTGCATATGCGAGGACGCCTGTTGTTTTTGTGTCGGTGGTTGAAACTGTTCCATGGGCAAGGGCGTGGCGAGAATAATGGACGATCCTAGTGATATTTGGGAAATGGAATTGATGGACGCAAGACCGGAAGAACTATCGGCGGCCGAAGGTGGTTTGTTCCGTAAGGTCGGAGGAGGGATTGGAAGTACCATGGTTTGTAGCTTTTGATTCTGTTGTTGTGGTTGTTGTAGATTGGTTGGAGCCGGTTTGAGTGGGGGCATTTTCAAGCTTTCCTCGACAAATAGACTGGTATCATCCGAGTCTGACGGCATTTGGAGACCTGCTTGTTTTGGATGTCGTTTGCCGGGTTCCATACTGTCAATCCAAGAAGTGGTTCGTTTGGACGCCTGATCCCACGCATTTTGTGTTTCCGGACTCGTGGTGGGATGGATCGGCGCCGCCCCCACGGATACATTGACTTGCGCGGTGATATTGGAATACGTGGTGGAAGTGGGTGTTTGATCTTGTTTCTTTTCTTCTCCCATGTCATCATCGTCATCATGATCATTGTACTCTTGTAGAAAGTTGGTTCGTTGGGACGGCATGGTTCGTTGTTGTTTACTAGTAGGAGTGTGTGAATTGTAGTTATTCTCTTGCTGTTGTCGCTTGGGTGAAAGCGGTGCTGGTTCTCCCTTGAGTCTGTGACAAAAGGCGGAGTAAAAGTCTCCCTTACTGAGTCCCGTGTGTCCTGACTGTGCCGACTGTCCCGTAGTATGAGTACTGGTAGTGCTTTTGCTGCTGTGGGTGCTCTTGCTGGACTGATCCGGTTTCTTCATCTTCTTCTTACTAGTACTAGTACTTGTAGTATGTGTATGGGAAGGACTGGTACCTGTAATGACACTTCCCTTGTACGTCGCCGCGGCCTTGGCGAGAAAGTTTTTCTTCTTGATGCGACTGGCATGAGTGCTACCAGTAGCAGTGCTTACTGGAGTATAAGCATGGCTATAAGCAGCGCCATGGCCATAGGCTCGCTTGGGCGTAGTAGCACTAGTACTGGTGGGATTGGGAGTGTTGTCCGACAGAGACGAAAAGGTCGTCGTGATCTCAAGAGGATCATTTCCATGTCCTCTCTTACCAGCAGCAGCACTGCTAGTAGCACCAGTAGCTGCAGCAGTAGAAGTCATGGCTTCTCACTATGCTTGACCTTCCTCCACTCCACCTGTTCCTGCTCTCTCTAGCTAGCTAAGCTACTCTTCTTCCTCCTCTGACCTGACTGACTGATAGATGAGATGGGATAGAGAGTGTGTTTTGGTTCCGAATACTGTACTACTGGTGGCTTGTGACTCAATAGATGAGATGCTCTGTACTGTAGGCAAGTTCTCACTCTTTCGATTGTGGCGGTGCAAGCAGCCTGTGTGTATTCTTGATGCCGCTGCTTCTGCTGCCATGGTCACGCTCTCACAGACAAGGCCGCACAGTTGATCTAAAAGTACTATGGAGTCCTGCATACGCTGCACACAAGCCGGACCATCCTAAACAACGAGGACAAAATTGGCGCCATTCACTCTCCACTTTGAGAATTGTTAGAAGGCCATCTGGTTCAAAAAACTATTTAGACCGAGTGGCAGGCTTTCATGTCGCAGAACAAACAACGTCATGATAGGGACTCAATCCACTCAGTTGATTCCCAGAACACGTACTAAGTATCTTCCTCGAGTTGATGCCAACATCAACCAAAACCACACAATCAGTATCAAACCCACAACACATTCATAGGTAGCAACACCAAATCCATTACTCCAACTAACTGAAGTCGAGTTATCTATCTATTCGACCCATTCCATCTCCAAATAGCTGATGGTTCGACTATCCTTTTCTTCGCTGACATTTTCGGTTCTCTTGTGTTTTGCGCCACAACATCGAGCACACGCCTTTTCTTCCATCACCTCTAGAACTACCAGTAGAACTACCCATACTACACGTCGTACACCAACTACTAGTACTAGTACCAGCATGCCCGCCACACTGAAACCGTACATTGAAACTCTGATTCAAGGAGATCGGTCCTTGACCAGTGATGAAACCGAAGCCGCATTTTCCGAAATTCTACAAGGGGCCGATGAAGTCCAAGTCGGATCCCTTCTCACACTTTTGCGGGCGAGAGGCGAAACTCCCAGTGAAATTGCCGGAATGGTCAATGCCATGAACAAGGCATGTGCGTCAGTTGATTTGGGGGATTTGAAGTTGTTGGATATTGTCGGAACGGGTGGCGATGGCGCCGATACCATTAATATCAGTACCGCAAGTGTCGTATTGTCGGCTGCCTGTGGCTGTATTGTCGCCAAAGCGGGCAATCGCAGTGTCTCTTCGGCGTGCGGCAGTGCCGATGTCCTCGAAGCTCTCGGCGTCAAGGTCGATTTGCAACCCGCCCAAGTCGTCGATTGTGTTCAAAAATGCAATGTCGCATTCATGTTTGCTCCCGTCAATCATCCCGCCATGAAACACGTCGCGCCCATTCGGAAAAAATTGGGGGTCCGAACGTGTTTTAATATTTTGGGCCCCATGACCAATGCGGCCGGTGCGCAACGAGCCGTGATTGGAGTCTTTCATCCCGAACTCATGCCACTCATGGCGGGAGCACTGCAAGAAGTGGGGAGAGTGGATCATGCCGTTATTATTCATGGAGTCGGATTGGATGAAATTAGTCCCATGGGGCCTGCCACTATTCTGGAGGTAAGTAATTACAAAACAAAAATATATACTGTGCCAATTTGACTCTACTGCTTGCATTTTCTCACACTCTGTTTCTCATCATCGTTGCTGCTTTCTTCCATCGTTTGGTACCTATTTTTACATTGTACAGATCAAAAACACGGCCGAGCCGGGAGCCCCACGAGTCTACGAAGAAAAGACATTTACATTTGATCCTCTTGATGTGGGCATTGAACGATGCAAAGTAGAAGATCTCAAGGGAGGTGGGCCCGAAGAAAATGCCGAAAAGTTCCGGAAAGTACTAGAAGGAGGAGATCACAGTGATGCCAAGAGAGATTCCATTGTACTCAATGCCGGTGTAGGATGTTATGTCTATGGACTCACGGACACCATAGAAGAGGGATGTACGTTGGCACGGGAGACACTCAATTCTGGAAAGGCAATCGAATTGCTGGAAAAGTGGATTGAAGTCTCCAATCAAGTATGATAACCGTACTTGCTTGCTTAATAATGACTCCCAGTGGTAGATTAAAATATTAATAATGTAGCTACGTAGAAACAGACGTTGTGGTAGCGTTGTAGAAAATGGTGATTGTGGCAGTCGAACACGTAGCCAAACCAAAGTGGCCGATCTATCTTTGCGGTGATCACCAAAAATGCAGAAGCTAGCTACAGCTTGTCCTTGTAACATCCTTGAACTCACTTGGGATCATAAGCACAATTGCTTTGCACTTTCTGCTTTCTCAAACTCTGAGTACATCCGTGGCTCTAGCTAGAGGCAGCAAAAGTAGGTTGATTGGTTCTAGGTTGTTTGGTTCCTCCAGAAAATATCTTGCTTTTTGAGTCGCCAACATACCGGCCAAACCAAACCGACGCGACCATACACCCTTAGCTACAAAACAGTAAAATCTAAACTTATCCTTGTAACACCCATCCTTGAGCTCAAATTGGATGCAAACAACATTTGCTCTGGACATTTTTGTTTCCTCAAATTCTCAATGCCTCCTGGATACCGTACCGTTCCGGTAGCTAGGCAGCAAGGGTAGATTGATTGGTTGTTTGGTTCCTCCAAAATATTTTTGCATTCTTTCAATATCACTAGCTCTGCCAATCTTCTGACCACCATCAGCTTCTGGCTAGCTAGGTCCTAGCTACTACCGGTAGCTACTTCCCACCACCACCCAAATCTCGTTGCACTTCTTTGAAAAAGGCTCTTATAAAACCAGGAAATCCGCGCAATGGTGGCGCTGGAGGTCCTCCTGGAGTTCCCATCGCCGCACCACTACTGCTTCCATCAGTGACGGTAGATGCAGCTCTCTTGGTCATTTCTTCAAAGGACTCGGTGCCTTGCTTCTTAACCTGTTGCAGCGAATGGTCCGTGCGAAGTGCGAAACGCTGAAATGTCTTGGAATTCGCCAAACCCTTGATCAGCACTTCATTGGCAATGTAGTTCGCTACGCGTTGCACAAACTGATTCATCCTTATTGCTCTTGCTGACTTTCTTCCTTCGATTTGACTTGAATTGTGATTTCCTTGTTGTCGTTCCTCCTTTTCTTGTCTTCCTTTCGCTTTGTGGTTTGTGGTTGCCGTTGTTGAAATTGCGTGGTTCTCTCGGAACCAATCGATTGAGTCGAATCGAATCATGAATTCCCTCACTCCTGTCGTGCGTGCGTGGTTGTGGAAGTGGGCTCTAACCCACGTCGTGGAAAGACGCTGCCTCATTTTGGTAGTCAGTCGACCGCTACTGGTAGCGGTTCATGTACCGGTACCGGTACATCTATCGGATCCTCAGGATGGCTGTTAGTGGGCGGCAGCACAGCTGACCATTGCATTACGTGTGTCATTCCTTTTCATTTAGAGCTAGTAGCCCCTACACCAGTGGAACTGTGAAGACTATGCGTTTTCGAGTAAAGCAGTAGTCCCAAATGGCTGGTTGACCTTTCCACTGCACCGACTCTTGGACTGCTCTTCCAACTCGTCACTTACCAGTACTTGAAGGCACGGATTGACGCTATCTACATGAGAAGTCTCCATGTACATGCACTACATGTACCTGTGTACTTGATGCTTTCTAAAGAGCCCTTGACCTGCACAAACAGAGATGCAAAGACAAATAATTCCAAGAATCACCAATCATGAATGCGCTCTCTTTTGTCGTGCGTGGGGGCTGAAAGTGGATGGGCGAATCTTCCACGTCGTGGAAGATGCCGCCTCATGTCTAGCTCTCGTCTATCTGCTCCTCCAAAAAGCTGTTAGACGTCGGTAGCACAGTTCATCATTCCACTACTTGTGTCGTTCCATTTCATGTATCGCCAGCCATACCAGTGGAACTCTGATGGACCATTTGTTTTCGAGTAATACAGTATTTTCACTGCACGGCCTCCGGTGACTGCTCCACCAACTCGCCACTTGTTGTTGAAGACCCGGATTGACGCTATCTACGGTGAGAAGTCTCAATGTACACGTTCTGCATGCACCTATAGTTGATCCTTTCTAAAGTGCCCTTGACCAGCACAAACAGAAATGCAAAGACAAATAAATAATTCCGCCCAAGAATCATGCAAGGAGAAAGGCAGCTACTGTTGCTTGGTTGGACTACGCCCCAAGAATCTTTTGCAAGGTTTTCTCTGTGTTGCTTCTATCTATCGCAAGTGCATTTTCTTTGCAATGGCCAAAAACATAACTAAATTACGAAAAGAGGCAACGTTGCGAGGCTGGAAAGGTAACGTAGTGCTGTCATTTGTTTCATTTCATCTTTCACTACAACGTCGTAAAGTTTCCTTGCTTGCTAGCACCATTTATTTCGCCAACTCTCTTCCTACTATATACTGTGGCGTCTAGGATAAGCCAATGCATGGTTGTTGTGTATTGTGTGTTTTGTTGCGTCTTTTTTATCCCCGGGGAGTGGCAAATCCGTATTCGGTGTTATCGAATGGTTCTGGCAATGGTTGTTTGACCAATGCTTCGGCGGCTTCCTTGGTACTGGCAAACATGGGATGGGTAAAGTATCGTTCTCCAAAGGACGGGATAATACAGACGGCCGTTTTATTGGCGGATTCGGGGCGTTGCAATACTTCCAACGATGCCGCCACAATAGCCCCACTGGAGACACCCACTGGCAATCCAGTCATCCACAAATCGTGCGTGACACTCATGGCATTATCCGAGTGAATGGGTACAACTTCATCAATGAGACTGAGATCGAGTACTTTGGGTACCAATCCGGCACCCATGCCTTGAATTTTGTGCGGTCCTTGGGGTCCAATTTTGTCTCCTCCTTTGGCGGCCGTGAGTAGCATTTGTTCCATGGGTTCCACCGCGACCGTCATGAGATTGGGTTGGAGTGGTGGACAGTCATGTTCCGGAGATCCTTTAATGTACTGCGAGACGCCCGTGACGGTACCACCGGTTCCGACGCCACTGACAAAGATATCGAGTTGTCCGTCGGTATCACGCCAAATTTCGGGACCCGTAGTTTCACGATGGATTTTAGGATTGGCGGGATTTTCGAATTGTTGCAACATGATGCCTTTACCATCCAATTGCTCCAAAATTTCGTGGGCTTTGGCAAGGGCTCCTGGCACGGCGGTTTCTTTGGGTGTCAATACGACTTCACAGCCCAACGCGAGTAGCATCATGCGTCGTTCGACACTCATGGTTTCGGGCATGGTCAAGATGCAACGGTAGCCACGTTCTCGTGCAATAAATGCCAAGGCAATTCCTGTATTGCCACTGGTGGGTTCTACCAAGACGGATTCTCCCTTTTTGAGAATTCCACGGGCTTCGGCGTCGTCAATCATACTGCGGCCCAAACGATCCTTGACCGACGAACAAGGACCCAGTGACTCCAATTTCCCGTACAGCTTGGACCCATTGTCCACTCCATGTTGATCCAACAACGGCTGCAAATCCAACAGAGGCGTGTTGCCAATCAGTTCCGAGGGTCGAGAGGCTACATTCAGACTGCGAACGGCCACACTAGTGACACTCCATGTCTTTTGGGTACAAGAGGACAGCACGTGGCGGCGGCTAGAGGAGGCAAAGGCTTTCAGCAGCATGGTCTAGTCAAATCAATACAGTATCAATGAGGTAAGGATCTGATTGTACCGGTATGGTCGGATAAGAGCTACTATGTTGGCTGTTGGCTGTTGGTTTGTGATGACCTGTGAAGCCTTCCCGTGGGTTCTGGATCTTTTGGATCTTTTGGATCTTTCCTCTCGTGTATCTATGTACAGTAAGGATAAACGTAACGGTTTAGTTTTAAGATAACCCAATCATTTTTTCCTGGGCGTTTCCACCGCCGCCTCCTTGCATCCTGCTCTTGCTTATGCATACTTGTCCAGTCCAATACTTGTGTTGTCCTCCTGTTGCTTCGTTCCTTTGGCTATTTGGCTTTCATTGTTCGTTTCATCCTTTGCTTGCAACACCAACAGCTAGCTAGCAATAAGAAATATGTTAAGAAGATTGAGTCATTTTTGGCAACTGTGTGGTGTATAATCCGCTCTGCTGGCGTGAGAAGCACAAAAAGCGCCCGCCGAAGCGCTCACAATGGCCAAAGCCACAATTACAATAATCATCAGCTGTACATGTAGTATCAGCATGCGAGTTGACACTGTTGACTTGTTGTAGCGAGAAAGAGACAGATAGATAGATAGATAGATAGAGAAAGAGAGACACAAGGCGACGAGACTAAAGGAGACGTAGAGTACTGGTGAGTCCACGAGAGAAGAAGTGCGAGGCGCCGCCTTGTCATTCGTGTGTTTGTCATTTGTCATTGGTTTGCTCACGGCTGTCTTTTCTTCTCCTTTCCTTTCTTCCACCAGTTGCCTTCATTGCCATCGACGCCACACACCACACACCACACACCATGGCCCGACAAAGGAAAGCAAAGGGCAAGAAGAAGGGCTCACCAACCAGAGGACGTGAAGCCTTTTGTTCGCACGGTAATCCCAATCCCTGCAGGAATTGCTCCACCACCATACGACGACAGATTCTGGTTCTATCTACTAGTAGTCCACTATTGCATGCAGCCGCGAAGAATTTCCTGACAATTCTGACGGGTTTGATACTCTGCTGGAAAATTTTATTGGCTTCCTCCAAGACCTCCATGACCACCCCCCCTTTTGGAGAAAGCCCAGACGGATTGATGGCGGTGTTTGTCGAACTGTGCACAATAATAGCACGCACACCAATGGAAGATCTTCTTGGGAATCCAAGATTTGGAGAACACACTTGACGATGCCTTTTTACTGCCATGGGCTCGGAAAATCCTCCAGCATCATTTTTGATGAACGACGGCCATGTCGGAGAGATTGAGGCACAAGATGATTAGAGTTAAGCCTCCGTGCTCTCCAAGACGAGCACTCCGTTTTCCCTTTGATTGAGAACACGGAGGTCTTCATTACATGTACGGCTCCAGTTTGACAAGCTACTCTCTCCGAAACCTCTGCCATCAATCTGACTGGCTACGATGTAGTAGTCTATGTACATGAGTTACTTGAACAGTTCTTGATGCGACCTGCAACCTACCGTATGGTACCGGTATTCGGACTCCTATTCCCTGACTGGAACATTCCACTCTTGCTCATTAAATAATGTTCTTGCGCGATCAAGATTATTTATCGCTGTCACGTGAACCCAGTCCAGCATCCACGGCTCAGCAACAGCAACTCCACAACGGGTTCGCCCTTTACGAATTGCACATTGCACACCACACACCACACATCTGCAGAAATTGATTTCCAGCGGTACCAGGTACAATGAGATGGTTTATGATGTCCTTTTGCTGCCTGCGTCGCTTGGTGTTTGTGCTTGTGTCGATGTTTCTTGTGAGGGCGGCACCCGTGGATCAAGTGGATGCACCCCATCTTGGGGATGGCACTTTGGCTAGTGGTACTACCGGTAGTAGTACTTCCAACGAGAAAGATGGGGGTATCGTTGTCTTGGAGGGCGCGCTCCGATCTCGAGCTGATCGCATGAAAGAGCTTCAGTCCAAGACATTTGAGTTCTCGGCCGACAAGATCGCCAACAGTCTGCCAGAAGAACGAGTGGATGCTGTTCAATCGCTTCAGAAAGATGTCATCCAAGAGGCTTCACAGGTGTTGAGTGAGGTCAAGAGTGTCCTTGCCGACAACCCATTTGCGGATCCTGCCTACCGAGACCATCTGGAAAGGATCCTTCAGTCCGGTCAAAACCAGGCACAAGCCTTGGACGAACGCGTCTTGGAGCTTACCAGGTTGCTCAAGTCTGCTCAGGGCAACAGCAACAGCGACAGCAACAACGTGAAAGACAACCGACGATTGAACCAGAACGCAAACAACCCTCGCAGCAGTGGCAACCAAGAAGGTCAGGGGGAAAATAACGCAAGTCGCCACGCCGACAGAATTTGGGACAAACACCGTCGCATGGTGCACTCATCCAAGAGAAACACCAATCTACATCGGTCCCTATTGGAGATTCATCAAGGGATCCTTAATGGCGATCGCAGACCCCTCGAGTCCTTTACAGACGCTACCCATCAGCGACACGCAAGAGGACAACCATCACACGACGCAGGTCGTCGTCAACTCCAGGACAAAGTACCTCTGCTCTGCCAAACGTTGGCAACTTGTGCATCCAGGTAAGCATAATTCCACTTGAGGCTTTTGCATTATCAAGTCGGCCAGTGTACTGTACGGGTCCTCAAGCTATTCATTGCATGATGATGATGATGCATAACAGGATGAGCCTCTACGATCTCTTTGTATTTTATCATGCCGATGACATCAATCCCACCACAGGAGAAATGGACGAGAAAATTGTTCGCTTCGACGAAGTCAACATACTCCAAAAGAAAGAAAACATCACCAGCATGTCATCTCTCATCCTCAACAATGGAGATCAAACTCAATGCGACGAGCTATTACGACATTTCCATCGCACCAATGAAAAATCAGATGTCCCTCAGTGGCACGGAGCCACCGTGGCAGAGGTTTGCATTGCCGAAGGGTACGTAACTAACGTAACACGCACAAAGTTTGGTTGGTTGTGTGTGTGACAGGCAGTCTGTGGGTCTCTGAACTCTGACGCTGATTTCCAACCAATACAGAACTACAATCTTCGTCAAATTGGAAGAAGCGGCGTCCCTCAGTTTTGTGACTCCGGAACTTGTGATGCAGAGTGTTGCCATTGCTGGCGGGAACTTTGGAAACAGGCCAACTCAAGGTGATGGTTGTCGTCTTAGCATTTGCCAAACATTTATCCAGTATGAGGGGGCACAGTTCGATCGCGAATCGCCCATGTACGTTTCAGTCTCTCTTGAATTTTCGTGCTCAGCATGTACTCAACACTTTCCGTGATCGATTCGTATAGTTCTACTCAAGTGACGGATTTCAATTCCTTCTTTGCCGAGGTGAGGCAGAATTTTGAGACTCTTGTGAAACCATTCACGGAAGAACCATTAAAGTGTGCGGAAGAAATGGCGCCGGATAGCTCGTTGGAGCCCTTTGTCTTTGGTGTGGATGGCCTCAAACCGAATGGAGATCCGTCCAAATACCGGTTTCCAACGGGATTTCTTGTGGACGGAGGAGGCAGTGGCCGGGATGCGCATGGACAGTTACGATCCGATGCGTCTGCCTTCACTTTCACAAGCTATACCGACCTTATTGCCGCCTTTGACGCGTGTGAAGAGCTACACCGTAATGGGATTGACCAAACAAAAACGGATGGAGCTCTCCAAATCGAGATTGAGCAGTACATTGGGAATCTGACAGAGACATGTATTCCACAATTTTTTGAACCCATGACAAGAGGATTTGAACTTACGTTTGGTGAAAGACCGAGCCCGGGCTTCATTTGTGGTATCAAGGATGCTATAGTCAAGGATGGGAAGAGTATTCCAGGGAAATGCTGTCTCGATGCCCCGTGGCAAGGGAAATTGGATCAGTGGGGACAAGCCGTAAGTCGTAAGAGGTGAAGTTCTGGATGGATGTGTGTTTGGAGGTCTAATGTGTGCATGTGTGCGCTGCTTTTTGCCAACAATGATGCAGTACGATTGCTCGTTTGAGTGTCAGAATCCAGGGCCGTTTTTTGCGGGGATGAGCGAAGAAGCTTGTGCTTCGCATGGAGGAACTTTCTGCGCAAACCCAACGGATTGTTCGGGGCTGGAGCTTTGTATTGGGGAAAACAAGCTATGGGCTCAAGAAAACAATGAAATTGCCTTTCTTCTATACCTCGAATCTGCGCCCAATATCACCGATGCAACCGATGCCAGCCAATGTAGTGGGGTACGTGATATGAGGGCCTATCCATTCCATTTGGTTACTCGAGAATCTCACCTTTGCTACGTCCTTGTGCCGTGTAGACCAGAGAGTACTTCGGTTTCGCTGGTTCCTTTATCAATGACAGGAGAATCTGCGAGGACATCGAGCAACTCCGTAACAACCAGGATTTCTCCTTTATCGACGAGTTCTTTGGCACCCTTGGGCTTGACCCCGAAGAAATCCCTGACATAAACGAGCTCGTTTTCGACGAGGTTCCACCCTTGGATTTGAAGCCGCCTGATCGCTGTAAGTGCACCATGATCCATCGTAACGAGGAACGGAAACTGGTTGTCTCAACAATAAATCGTACTGTTTGACGCACTCCCCAACAGCGGCCTCGAAAGCAGCTCCCGTACAAAACGAGTGGGCTTGGAGAGCATCCGATTTCGCCCTCCGACAAGTCATCAAACACACTGAATTGGCATATGACATGATAATCGACACTCCTTGCCCTGATTTGCCCTTTGTTGGCACATTTCCATGCACGCTGATCCTCTTTGTCGCCATTGTGGCTCTCTTGATCGTCCAATTCGCGGCGGAAGTGGTAAGTCGACACCTTGTAAAAGGAGCATTCGTCAGCGCGGCGATGCAATCATTGCACTCACGATCCCATCCCAAATTGTTCCAAGCTTCTGGAAATCTCGGAGCAAACCTTCATGCAAGAGGTGGAGCTTAGCAACTTGAATCAGGTGAGAGGTTTCGAGGACACTGCAGCGGTGTACCGAAACATGGAGCTGACCGGTGAGTACATGAGAGATCGTTTCCAGGACGTGTCCGATCTCGTGGCGACGGGTGTGAACAACATTGCCGACGGTGTAGACGCTCAGAAGGTCCAAATCATCGGCGTAGAGGAACGCCTGGGTAGCCGCATCGACGACAAGATCCAAATCGTAGAGCAGAGCTTGAAGGATCACATTGATACTCGTCTCTTGGCTAATGATGAGAGCAACCAATTGGAGCTCATCCACACAAAGCTTGACATCATCATGGCGGATCTAGCTGCTTTGAAGGAGGCACGATGCCTGGGTGCAACAACGAGCGAGAACAACAACAATGGTGCTGACTCCACTCGAGGTCCAAAACTTCAGACTACGGGAGGAGGAACGAGTGAGACCGTTGGTGAAGGAACTCCAGCTCAAACGCCTCAAACCTCAAGTGGAACGACAAGCACGGCAGGCAGCAGCACCCTTGGGGCGAAGGAGGAAACATCGCCTGGCCCAGCCGCGAGTGCTGGTGGCTCGGGGAACACCTCGAACGCAGTTTCCAGTGGCCGCGTCTTATCTTTGAAGAGTGTCGGATTCACCCTCCTGGCAATCTCTCTGGGCACACAGCTTTATTCTCAGCAATGATCGAACCACGCAGCCATGTGGAGCTTCTCTTTGATCTGCTGTGGACCACGATCTACTTTCACGTTGTTCTGTGCGCGGACAATAATAGTCATATACAAGTTAGCTATTATCGATGTAGTCAATCAAATAGAGCTATTGATGATAATCTGTTCTCGAATGATTCCAGCTGGCCACAACTGGATAGCTAGCAGCTGGGCTGCATGGGTGCAAACGCACGCGTCGTGGCGAGGGGTGTCGAGAAGAAGCTGTATCTCAATGCAGCAATTGCAGTTGATTGGGAAGGATGAAACCTCATGCGAGAGGTACAGATCCACACAAGAAGTTGCAACGTCAGATTGCAGATTGCAATCCCCCAATTCTTTTCAAGGAATCAATTGCCTGGGCGTGCATAGCAGTAGTCCATACCTGTGCGGTACCAATTGAAAGCAACAACAAACAAAGGAGAAAGTATTTTGCGGTTCAGCCTATCCTGTGAGATTGCAGCCACAGAACGTCACCACACAGCACGAAGTCTAGCGCATTGAATTCGATACGTACGGGGAACCCCAGGTCCAAAACACCCCGGTGGAGTTTCGTCAGGGTTGTTCCTGTCTGTACCAAGCAAGAAAGCAAGAAAGCGTTTTGCCGTGCGCCATGTATGTGAGCCAGACCATGACGATGCAGCAGCAATACCATACACCAGAGACACTTGTTTTACCTCTTTCAAAGCACTCCAATGATCCCGCACATTCGTCGTTATTCCTGCAATGGCCCTCACACACGCCTATCCTCCGAAACGGACACGGCAAAAAGAGGTCAGCCACAAAAATAAGGTCCTGGAGAATAAGACGATTGATGGATACCGTGGTACGTACCACACTGAGCATCAGGACGACACCTGGGGTCTCTACGTGCATCACCCAACCGGTAGTATTCTTGCGGATCAAACGTCTCAAAATTGTCGGATTCTTCTTCCTCTGGTTGCTGCTCCATAGCCGATTCAATCACAGTACCATTCTCCAACGTTGTCATTAACGTGTCGGTAGTAGTAGTAGTAGTATCGACGACCTCCTCTTGTGCGGATGCTCCCATGACGGTTTCCCACATGTTGGTCCGAACTTCTCGTGCCTGTTCACAAGTGGTATGAATGATTTCTTCAAACTTGCGTGGATGATGGTGCATCTTGACGCACTTGTCGGTACGTGGCACGGGTGGTTCTGGTTCGTCATTGGCGTTACTAGTAGTATCCAAGAGAGGTGGTGCATAAAGTTCAAAGGGTTGTGTGGGGTCCATCCCATGGAACCATTGCTGATGTCGTTCAAAGCTACAATATGCCAAGAAATATCGTCGTGTGGCCCATCGTTCGAGGCACAAAAAGACATTGACTTGATAGAAGGATCCATCTCCAAAACCCGTGGGCCACCACTCCTTGGTCCTCATTTGCAATTGTCCCCATGTGCGACTGCCATGGGCTTGTCCAGGGAAATAATGCGGTGTTCCTTCTTCTTCCTCTTCTATGTCTTCTTCTTCTGGTGGTTGTTGTCTCGCAATGGTACTAGTATCCACGACCACCGCGTCGGCTCCTCCTACGTAGATGAGTGGAATGGGTATCCAATAGAAGAGCTGTTGTGGTGGTCTGTCGGGTCTACACGGTTCTACCCACACAATGTCTCCCCAGTTGCAGTAGAATCCTTGCAAGATAGATAGATGCATGAAACAAGTGACGTGTGTAAATATGAGCAGCATGCATCAGGCTGTCTTGGTGCTGTATATACATCATTTGTTTTCAACGCTTACCTTCACATTGCATACACCAGTGTTGTTCGGTCTCGCAGTCATCATTCCAACAAGAGCGAGGAGTCCAGTGAAGCTTGAGTTGGAAAGGACCAATGGGAATGTCTGAGCCTGTACGTGCTGTGCTACCAGTAGCAGGTTCCTCCTTTTCCGGTTCCTTTTCTACCTCCTTTTCTGTTTCTGCTGTCTCATTATCTTCCGGTGGTTTGGGTTTGTCTTCTGCAGTTTCCTCAGGTGGCTTTGGCTGTTCAAAGGCTCCCACATCTTCTTTCCACTCTTCATCTTTGGATTCTTCTTCCTTATTAATGTCTTCTTGTGCATGAACAGGCTCTTCCTTTCCCCCATGAACAGCTGCAAATGCTTGAAAAGAGTTGGGGTCTTCTTTGGGAATGATTTCAAACTGAGTCAGCAGCTCTCTACTAACAGTGCTACCGGTACTAGTACTAGTAGTAGTGCTTTCTTCCTTGTCAACGACAGTTGCAGCTCCTCCTCGAAGCGTCGAAGAAGCCAGACAGCAATGCCATGATACCACTGCTGCCAAAAACAGCACTTGGAGAAAACAACAACGAAACGAGACAATCATGGTGCAATTGTTTACTGTCAGACCACTCAGGTACTTGATAGAGGCGGATCAGCCAGTCAATGGATCCTACCCCCAAAAAGTAAGTGAAAACAATAGACTGCCTGCCAATCAATTGCTTTGGTTTCCTCCTTTCCTGGATCCTGCCGGTATTTCCCATCATCCTTTCCCTCCGCGAGACCACCATGTGTCGTCCAACTCCCGCCAAGCCATCCATGGATGAAAGTGTCATCTTAGAGCTCTTGCATACAAAGAGTTCTAAGTAAGTGATCCCTTCAATGACCATGTGACATGCCATTTGTCTAAGTAACCAAACAGACCGCCAACAATCCTTCTAGCTTGAACCCTAAAAGAGTTTTGAAAAGGTTGCCGGTACCGTTACTGCGAGAGTACCGATAGCTCGTACCGGTTCCCAGTTTGTCATGGTGGTGGCGATGATGTGATCACCAAACAAAGCCAATCACACCCAAGCCAAAGCAATCCACAATGAAGCTACAGCACAGTCTGTTACTGTACAAGGATATCTCTGCTGTTTGCGATTTTCTGAATGCTGGCCATTGCTTTCTGCTACCATACGGTACCGTCATCATGTCGATCATCGTTTGTGTTAAGTCCGCTTCGTCCCTGTCCGATACGGGTAGAAGCCTCCGTCATGGACAAATTGAGCTCAACCAGGCTGGCTACCAGTAGCTAGCTAGGAGCGAGGAACCGTTGTGGTCTCGGTCTCGGCATTGGTGCTGTCCTGATCCAGCATTCTCGTCTTCATTACATGAGCCCACCAGATGAAATATGCGTTTCGGGTATATTGTCGGCTTCTTGTACCGTGCCACCACGGAGATTGCGAGATTTCTCCCCGCAGTACGGTACGGTACTGCGAAGTTCCTTGGTAACCCGCCGAGTTGCGTTCTTGTTGGCACTTACATGTAGTTTGCCAGCCAAATCTTCTTCAGACTGAGTCATCTATGCCCTGCCATAAGGTCGCTAGCTGCTAGAAAGTTTTCCTGGCATGTCTGCCTGAGCTCTGGACGCCTTACCGGTGTCGCGGCGAGGGAGTTTAATGAGGGCGCAATGGCGCACCCAAACGGATAGCTACACAACGAATGATCGGCTGGAAGCACTGATGTGGAAACTCGTTCTTTTTACTTTCATGCTACTGATTATAACTACATGGGCTTCCTCCTAGATCTTCAATGTCCCGACAAAGTAACGCAGACGCAGACTGGCTTCAATGTTGGTCGTGCAATCAGGAATGAACCTCTTGTTGTTCGCTTTTCCTGCCTCGACATGGCTACCCAACATCCAATGAAAACCATTGCTGCAGTTACGCCAACATTTACGCATTCTGGTTACTGGCGGAGCAGAGGTGATGGACTACCTCCACATCGTAACTTCGCAACTTCCCGTTGCCAGGAGCTATCCATAGGAGGTATGATACTAGAAAATGGAATGGAATCGATGGATGCTTGTATGTTTTTGTTTTATCTGCAATCAAAAGCTAGCAAATCTCAAGTCACCCACCCGAATACCAGGAGAAGTCGAATGCCAGGAATATGTCAACAGCCCATGATACTATCTTTAATACACTTCCATATGGAAGCAAGATTTCCAATAATAATAATCATAAAACCTCAGCCAGACCTCCAACCCATAAGGTCTTGAGATATCGGTAGCTTGATCGAGTCCAAAAGGAATATTGCCCAATATATTTGACTAGTGCCATGGTGGATTGATCATTCAATTCACTCCGATATTTCCACTAGCTAGAGCAATGCTGTCCTCCCCGTTCCCCGTTTTGCTCCCGCCATCCAACCGAAAAACACGGAAGCACAATCCGTCTTGCTGTCTGCTGAGAAATGGTAGGTTTGCGGCATTCTCACAGCACGAAGAAGTCAACAGAGCGATGACGCTCTCAGATTCCTCCACTGCTGTGCATGCCTCAATCGTCTTGTCATGGGCCGCAGTCGTACATCTAGTAGCAACGTCGCCAGATAAAGGCAGCGGGCGCTCAGGAGCACCTGCAAGGTCAGCGGCAATGTCCACAAGGGAAGCCAAGGACTGCTACATATACTTTCCATGGTTATTGTTAGTCGTCGTCTAGTAATAGTATTTTTAGCAGTAATCAAGGGAGAATCGAATCGCTGCTGTTGGTGGTGGTTGCGTTTTGTGTTGGTTTCTTCGGTTTGGTTTTTGTGCTTTTTCCAAGCTAGCTAGGAAGCACTTTTGTCTTTGGTGGCTTTGGACCCGAAAACGTCAGAGGGCGAAAATTCTGACGTCAATCAGTTGGATCACGAGCGGGAGTGTAATACTCATGGGCTATCATAGATAAATCATTCGATTCGATTCTACCGAAGTCGATTCGATTCAGTGGTGGTCCGTCTTCACTCCGCTATCCGGGTACCGGTACAACCATGGTACACGTACCGCTGCCGCCAACATTCCAGTAGCTTTGTTTGATGATGGTGTGGGCACAAAAGAAACAATTCACGCCTATAACGAGGAGAGGTTGGCTGCAATTTCCCCCTCAATGCAGACCAGTATGGTCATACTACCGTTCGATACAGGTGCAAGAGGGGAAACAATGTTCCAATCCACCTCAGTCTCCCTGGCTGACGATTATTTTGAGAATTCCAATCAACCTGAGTGACGAGTAAGCGATCTTAGCAAAAAGTCTAAACAGCTAAACACCGAGAAACCGTTGATTGCACCGGTAACTTGGCTGCCAATTGCCAATACCGCTGACGGCAACTTCACCTCGCTTGGCAACCAAGATTTAGGTCGACTGCAACTGTTCGGATTTAGCAGCTACGCTGGCTGTAAAAGAGGAACATTGAAACTTTTCAGGTCCTCCTTCTGAGGTGGCAAGAACAAAACTGCAACAGTTCGGATTTGGGATGCACTTAGCTATTATTTTAAAATAGTCTAGCTAGCTGACTCATCGTCAACCCAAGACCGAAACGGAAACTATTCAGGAGCAAAACTGCAACTTCAACAATTCTGCGCTGGTTGACGTGATCGATGACCCACGTGGTGGTATTGGGTTGTTCGCATTTTGACCGTCCCAGCCACGCTTCATCATCCCCCTTGTGTGCTGTATAGCTGCTGAAATTTGAGAACGGGCTTTTAGACCTAAAACTTTCTCCGTTGCTTTGGGTTGTGCTACTGATCCAACTCAAAAGTCCCAGCCAAAATATTTGTGTCTGGAACTTCACTTTTCAGTACACCTCCAAGTTGAATTATTCTGTGCCTTTGAAGTTTTCCAGCGACTCGAGTTGGTCGTCTGAGCTGTCGTCTGCTGCGCCGCCAGAGCTCCCACCTTTTTGTACCATATTGATGCAGAAGGGATGGTGGGTGGGCGGTAGGAAGCACGCATTGACAGTTCGAGGTCGGGACGCACCAATAACGTTGTGTCAGATGGCTACCGGTACCGGTACCAGGCACTGGTACCAGTACCGGTAATTAATTGTTACGGTGGGCAAGCGGTGCATGAGTGATGTCTTCATTACTAGCCAGTACCAGGTACGCAGTCCTGTACTAGTAGTCTAGTGTATTCCGATGGTTTAGGTCCTGAACTTCTCTTCTTCGGTGCCTTTACTATGATTTTTACTTCTCCAATGCCCTGGGATCTTGCTACAGCTGCTCTTGGCAACTCATTCTTCTCTTTCCTGGATGTTTGGCCTTACCATACGGAACTGTACAGGACCGTTGACCTCACAACTGATGACCTGCGACCCCGCTCCAAAAACAACTTCAACTTATACGCGGCTTGCGGCAGTTGGCCAAGCAGCATCCGAAGAATTGATTTTCCAGTCACCTCTGTCATTGTGCCGGACGAATGTTAAGCAAAACAAAACGTGCTTTTTGATGCTGCACTGAAAAATGCGACCCAACCAGCGATAAAGTCCACTGCTATCCGAGCTTTCAAAGAAGAAATACGTCGCTTGAGAGTAAGAGCCTCAGTGCCATTTTTAATAACAAAAAGAAGGCTTCACGAGGAAGTGGTGCCCTAAGTAGTCTACTTTAGTTAGGTATTTAGAATTTCCGTATGGGGTCTCAGTGGTAACCAAAGTCTGTCCCAACGTCGTCTTCGGTTTACTGAGTCAGTCACTGGGACTGACTGGAGCTCGGTGGTCGACTGATAAGCTACATACCGGTACCTGAATATACAATACTAGTACTAGACTAGCTAGAGTATACATACATGTACAGTACTGAATCGAATCGTATTGATACAGGATTGAATCGATGCATAAGACAAAAAAGCAATCACTCTTTCACTGACAAAAGAACATCCTATTGGCTCCAGTTGTATATTCGGACTCCAACAGAAGCGAAGTTAGATTGCTTTTGGGGTGGAAAGAAGACCGACGACGTAGAAAAAGCAGACGGTCTGTAATCGGTATGTTGTGAAGGAGCAATTGGGTGGCTTTCCGAGCTTTTCCGAGGATTTCGGAGACAGTACAGGCCAGATACAATTTCAGACGCAATCGGAAGAAGAAAAGAGTTCTTTCTTGGACCAATGCAGACCAGGCAATCGTATGAGTCAATTCTAGGCCTACATCGTACCAGCTCAGACAGAGGACGGACTAAACCGCGTTTGTGCCAATTTCACTGGTCGTCACTGACTGATATTGGTTAGCCACCAAGAACGCAGGGGAGTCACCTCTGTCAACACTGCAGGAAGTCTATACTGAAACAGTAATAACAAGAGAGGCTTTTCCCTGAGAGGCGGCGTTGAAGAGGAAGTTTACCGTATTAGTTGAAGAAGTTCCCCGAACCAGTTTTCGGCACGCAAGACTTCAGTACTCGATTACGTGCAAACGTAATTTGTAGGGCAATTGCTGTACTTGAAGCACGTAAGTAGAAACTCAGTACTGAGTCAACGTTGCCCCAACAGATTTCTTTTTGCCTCTGCTAGCTAGCTAGCTAGAGTCTGAGCTCCGGCACACTTTGCATCAGTTGCATCTCCCTCTTTCGCTCCCTCCCCCATAATCTCAAACCTCAAACCAGCACTCTCTGAACTAACTAATAACCATCTGCTGATCAATCTATCCATCCGCTTATCTTAACAACATCCAGTACAATGAGCACCACCACCATGACACACTCCAGTACCAGTGGAAGCAAACCAAAGGAGCCAAGCAACAGTCTCATGACTGTTGACTATGTCCAGGCCCAGCGCCGTAAAATTGAACGAGAGTTGGAGATTCTGATTGCGCTTCAAGCTCAGATTCATGATGACCATGAGATTCCTGCTCCTACTCCCATTGCCCCCGGAGCCATCAGGACTTCCCAGCAGCAGTCAGTCTCTTGGCCTCACATGAACGAGTCTCTTCAGGTTGTGGAGGAACCGGTGGCTCAGGCTCAGACGACCAACGGCTTGCCCCACCATGCGGCTGCCCCTTTTTCGGAAGATACGAACTCTCTGATGATGGCTCCACTTGAATTCTCCAGTCCATCTCCTCAGCCTCTTCAGAGACTTCCTCCTTTTCCGTGGTCCAGGAGCCAGTGAGAGGGTCAGCCAGTGTTGTGTCTCTTGATTCCTCAGAGGACCAGTGTGTTCTCTCCAGCCGATTGTGCGCAGTCCTACCGGTAAGTCACTCCAAGCTGGCAGCCCTCAACCATGTTTCAATTCTCCATTTGATATTCAATGACTTACTCACCTCCATCCTTGTCTTTTTCCTTACAGGACCTTGATATGACCAATGAAGCTCTTCCGGATCTGGACAATGAAGGTCTGATGCAGTTCTCAAAGACTTCAGCGCTTGGAATGATCCCACACCACTGTCCCCTCCCAGTTGCAGCCTGGAACAACACAAAAATGCCCCTCAACCAGTGCCAGTCATGTCCGCTGCACAAACTAAGCCCACCCGCAAACGCAAGGCCAAGTCTTCTTCCTCCACTGGACAACGCAAGTTGGGCCGTCCGTCTGCCTTCCCCCAGAAACTCTACCGCATGCTCATGGACATTCAAACGAATGGCAGCTCTCTGCAAGACATTGTGGCCTTCTCACCCGAGGGAAACTCGTTCCACATCTACCACAACGATGCCTTCGTCGAACAAATCCTGCCCAAGTACTTCAAAATGTCCTCCTTTAGCAGCTTCCAAAGACAGCTTCAGTTGTACAGCTTTAAGCGAATCAGCAAGGGCGGAGCTTACTTCCACCCTATGTTTCACAGGGAAAACCCGGACACTGTTGGTAGGATGGTCCGAAAGCAATCCAAGCCATCCAACTTTCTTCTCGCAGTTGCCGCGAAGACTGCCTAAGGCGAACATGCTAGCAACTTGGGGGGTGGACTAAAAAGGTACCTGGCCTTCCGGTACTGTCCTACTACACTGCCATTCCAACGAGACTTGCCTGCCTCCTGCATAAACACTTGGGTTCATCTGAGGATACCTCCACATCCTGTTCTCATGCGTCCTCACTTCCGGCATGGTACCAAGTATGTACATGTAACTACACAAATATTAGAACAAAAATCAACTAACTTGATCCACTGTCCGTGCTATCTTGCAGGCTAGCTAGAGCTCCTGCATTTACATCTATTACTGGTAACTCAGCCAACATCTAGCTGGCTAGAGCTTGCCTCTTGTTTGCTTTCAAGTGAGCGATCCGACCATCCCTAGCTAGCTAGCCGCTTCGCGATGCTCAAAATGCACATATGTGAATTGTTGCCAGACAAAGGTACGATACCTGGTACCGGTACGCATCGTCAGTCCGCATCCGTTGATGTGAGACGGCGCCGTAAAAGATGTGACCCACGCCAGCCAGTGGACAGTGGACCTTTGAATGCTCAAAGTGACGTTTGAGAAGTACTTCTCATTTTCTACTAACGGATTCACATTAATTTTTGTAAAGGTAAAGCCTTTTATTAAGGGCCGTCTGCTTGCCTACGGTACCAGGTACAAGCATACTTGCTGACGTCGATAAAAATAACTTCAACATTTAATTTGGTCTTTCCTTTCTGAGTTCTTTTTTTTACCTAGACCATTTATTTTTAAATTCTACTGAGACACCTATGAAGACTGCTTTCTGCTTTGCGTCAAGCTTATGGAAACTTCAAGGTCAGGAGTTAGCAAAGTGACTTCTCTCCGTTGATCTTTTGTTGGGGTCAATCTTTTGCTGACTCACACGGTGATCTACGGTGATGTGATCCAAAATCCTGCCAAGGCAGCGCAATGAAAGGGCCTAATATTTGGTCCTGCTGGAACTTACTAAGGCCGATTCCTAACACGCTCCGGTACGGAATTTTGTGCTCATTTTCCTCCTTTTTGACGTCACCAACCCTCCAAGCTGAAAAAAATTCTGTGATGACCGCTACGGTGACCGCCAAAGTCCCAGTGAATTGAAATACCGTAGCGGTCACTAAAGAATTTTTTTCAAGTTGATGGGCCAATGAAAATGTAGTAGCGGGGCGGTGCAAATAGAAAAGAAAGGAACATCATTGGAGTTTAGATCGGCAACAGAAAGCAAGAACAATGATAGCTGCAGCATAAAATAGAACAAATATGGATGTGCTAGACCATCTCTATGAAGAGGATGATGACACCTCTCTATTGACTTACTTCTTGTGGTCCTGCGGCATTGTGGATGTGCCAGAGCCAAGAAATCCTTCGCACTTTGAGCAGAGGTTGGCATGGGATGATTACAGTTCTAAGCACATTGCCAAAGGAACATTTGAAGTCCGCCTGCGAATGACATTATCTTCCTTCAACAAACTCTGCAAGTTGATTAGTAAACAATTGGAAGTCAATGAGACAATGGCCAAACGCAGAGGGGGCACAATTCTGCCAGAGCTGTGTCTCTACTGTACCATTCGATGGTTGGCAGGAGGATCTCACCTAGACATCACGGACGTTTGTGGCATTTTGCACTCATCCTTCTATCGAGTAGTTTGGAAGACAATTACAGCAATCAGCAAGTGTCAACAGTTGAGACCAAAATGGCCCAAGACAAACAAAGAAATTGGGGAGCTGTTAGCCGGTTTTGCTTCAATAAGCACAGCAGGAGTGATCAATAATTGCATTGGTGTTGTTGATGGTTACCTGTTGCGCATCAGAACTCCATTCAAGAAAGAAGTAAAGAATGTCCGTTCCTTCTTCTCTAGACACTACCAGTGTTATGGTGTCAATGTACAAGCAGTGGCTGATCATCATTGTCGATTCATCTTCCTCGCACAGTCTGATCCTGGGGTAATGGGAGATAAGGAGGCAATGCGTGAGACAACACTGTATGACTTGATTGAGAGTCTCCCATATGGCCTGTGCGTGATTGGTGATGCTGCTTACTACCCAACAGAACATCTTGTTCCGGTGTATGCTGGTGTTGACAAGGAAGAGTCGCGCTTTGACAATTTCAACTTTTATGCCAGCCAAGTGCGCATTCGCATTGAGATGGCATTTGGTCTGATGAACATGAAATGGGGTATTCTCAATCATCCCCTCACCTGCAACGTGAAGAACGTTTCATGGCTGATTCAAGCTATTGCGTCACTGCACAACTTCTGCATTGATGAGAGGCTGCTTCGCGCAAAGGAAACTGGTGAGCAGTATGATCCATCGGATGAGCCAGAAATTCCAAGGTACGTACCATCGGTGCCCCACGATGAGAATGGCGATCCAGTCAATTTGGATACCTTATTGCAGGGTACTTCATTGGGACATTCCCATCTTCGAGAGCACATGGCAAACCGAGTAGCTGCCCACCATTTGGAGCGACCAATGGAGAATCGTAGGAAGAAATGACCATTGTCGGCACTAGAGTAAATTGTAGTAGAGAACACGCAAATAATGAGTAAACTCCACGCTAGCCATATTGCGAGTGCGAATGGGAGCACTCGCGAGTGCTCGCGAGCATGTACTGATGTAGTCTTGCGGCGATCACTAAGAATGCAACAACGATCAAAAGCAGAGGAGTGCGCACACAACCTCAACAAAAGGGTAGACGCGATACAGTGACAAAGAATATTCTGCTACTACTGATTACCATGCTACCATTATCCTACTTGCTACTTGCACTGTTACTAAAATCCTGTCGTGACGGTCCTCTCCTCTGGAATGTTCAGTTGTTTTTCTAGTTCTCTAGTAATGTGGATTGCCATGTTTTGAAGCATTGGTTCGTTGTCGTCATCGTTCTCTTGCTTCCACGCCTTGAATTCTTTGGCCATCGATGTGTATTCCTTCCATTGTTCACGTGCCGAAGAACGCTTTAATTCCTCTTTCTGTAGATTGATGTACTCCTGACGTTGGGCAATGGTGTCTTTCTGGTGCTGTTGTTGCTGCTGCTTGACTTCCTCCATCTTCCGTAGCAACTCGCGCTGAGTTTTCTTTGCACTGCCGCTACTGTCACTGCCTCCACCAGCGCTGCCAATCATTGGAACGTTCGAATCAGACTTCATCTCTTCCTCCAGCACATCTGAGAATCGACCATCGATCTGAGGATACTGCTGGCACAAAACATGGCAATAGTAGACCGCCTTTGCAGGAATGGGAGCACCACTCACTCGCCATTTCAAGTACTTCTGATTAGTGGCATAAGTCCAAAAATCGCTGTCATTGTTGCCAGACTTACGCATGCCACCCAAAGCAAGTTCACGTGCCTTCATAACATCCAACACTTTGGACATTGCTGTTTCGTAAGTCTGTTGCTCAAAGTCAGCGATGTTGAAGTCTTCGTTCTTTACCCACTCAACCAGGTATGGATCACAGTCTTCCTTGGAGTCGTCTGAGCGAATGATCTTGCTTAGTTTTCCATTCATCGAAGTGTCATTGCAGACTTCGGACAGCTCCACAAAGAATACCTTAACAGCACTCTGTCCCTGGTTCTTTTCAAATGTCATGCGCTTATGTCTGTCATTGAGATCGCAGAACCTGTAAACCATGTTATTGTCAGTAAGGAAACAGCCTTGGATCAGACGTATGTAGGTGTTCTGGCGCCTGTCTTGCGCAGAAGTGAAAGGATTGGCGATGCTGTTATCCATGTAAATGGTCCCAGAGTTGATCCAAGATGCCAGCTCGCATCTTGCCTTCCACATTGAAAAGCCTCCAGCTCCCTTGAGTCTCGCTTTCTGACACAGGATACGCAATTGCTGATGGTTGAAGGTAGCAAGGTCATATCTCTTTTCGTCAGGCTTCCCCTCCTTCATAACAAAGTATTTGGCAACTGAGTAGTCTGTTTCGTCATTCTTGTTCTTCGGATGCTTCTCGTCTTGACACTTGATACACTTCCTGTAGTCCGGCTGGAATCTATCGACGAGAGCATCAATCTCTTTGGACATCTCAAGCTGCTTGGCTTTTTCTGCTTCCTTCTTTCGGCGATCGTCTTCCTTCTTCTTTTCCCTGGCTTGCTTCTTAGCAGCTTTCTGCTGTTCCTTCTCTTGAGAAGAAACTCTCTTCCTGGCCGCAGGTGTCAAAGCTGCTTCTGCATTTGCTACTACCCGTTGGATAGTTGGATCCGGCTGGCTGCTACCACTGCTTCCACCAGCTGTTCCAGTACTCAATAAATAGCTCTGGTACAGAGCCAAATTCTTCGCAATGTCAGGTGTTGGAGTGAAGGGCAAATCCCTGGAAAAGACGCCTCCTTCACATGCACGAGTGGTCGGAGGATTCTTCATATTCCAAGCAGCGGTCCTTGCCTCCTTGTTGGCCTTGTCCCATTGCGCTCTGACCTCTGGGTTGGTTTGGTACATGAATGCATCCTGCACAAATGTGTCTTGGGTTGGTTGCGAGCAGTAGTTGGGTAGAGGCGGCATCTGTTGCGATTGGTCAATCTCCGCGATCTCTGGTGGATTCTTCTTTTTGTTGTTTTTGTTGTTGCATTTTGCTTCTTCTTCCTCTTCCTCATCATCATCATCAGAGTCATCCTCACTATCATAGATGGTAGGGCGCTTGTCTAGCGCCTGCTTGACGCGGCGATCAGTAGAGGAGAGGTCGTCATCTTCCTCAGAGGCCATGGTGCCATTGAAACTGAATACAAGAAGATGCGACTAGTTTCTAGTGTAACTCTTGTCAACGATTGGATTGATACAAGATTGATCGCATAGCTATATTAATTATCTACATGAATGTTTATCGCCCTATGATGGTGCTAGCCGGTCCTCTCTTCTTTCCAACAACATCATCCTCGTTTTCGTACTTTCTCTCCTTGTCATCATTGGATATCGAGGCAAAATGTGGAGGCTGTGATCGGGAGAGAATATAATGACTGGCCATGCCGCCTCGGAATTTTCAACTGCCGAAACCGTATTCCGTAGTGATAGGAACCAACGCATTTCGGAATCCAAAATGGGCCGGAAACGTCATTCAAACAAAAAATTCCGCCGTAGCGGTGCGTGTTAGGAATCGGCCTTAGTTGTACTCCGGTTTCGATCTCTGGTACTGGAGTACCGGTAGCTTGTATGATATGTCACAGCTGGACTCGACTCCAGAGTAGTACTGTACCGGTAGTGCAGAGTACATGTTGGTAGATTTAATAAAGATTGACAGCTACCGTAGTCTACTAGCTGTCGGTAGCGACGATGCTACGGTAGAAGCTACGTTCCTTCCAGTTCTACTCTACGATATATGCGCATGTCTGACTCGTTTGCGATTGAAAACTGAAAAGAGCGGACGCTGCTGTCAAGACAGCACAACTGTCAGCTGCCGGGGTGCGAGGAGCAGGGATTGAATACCGGCTGCTGGAGACGGTGGAGACTGACCGTGCGAAGCCATTTGCCGCCTTTCCAGCTCTAATCCCCAATTGTCCTTCACCAGTTTGCAAGGGATACTAGTACCTGGAGACGTCATTGGGTTGCCTTTTATCGGCGAAGGAATGAAGGAATTGAAGACCTGCAATTGCTTCCGTGTCCATCCGCACCTCCAGATCAATCGCATCTTTTTTGCAGGCCTGCCTGCCAATC